GTTATTACTCGCCAAATTTTTACATCGTCAGCGTATAATAACATTGGAGACTGTACTATACTTGTAAGATCATTAACGTACATTATAAAAAGTAAAGGACCTAAGACGGAACCTTGGGGTACTCCACTAAGTACTGGTCTCCAGATGGAGCACTTGGAATTTATTCTTACTTTTTGCCTACGACCTACTAGGAAATCCTTAATCCATTTTAAAAGAGGTCCGGCAATACCAAGGTTTGTCAACTTCAATAGCAGCCTATTAGTTGGCACCTTGTCAAAAGCCTTACTGAAGTCTATGTAGACAACATCCACTGAGTTTCCGTTGTCTAGCGCATTAATCCAGAGCTCCCTAGCTATAAGGAGGTTCGTTGTACAGGATAGACCCTTTCTAAAACCATGTTGTGCCATGTTCAGCAAGTTATTGGTTTCCATAAATGCTGTTATGGTCCGTTTGATTATTCTTTCCAGTATTTTAATTACAACACTGGTGAGGCTTACGGGTCTGTAATTTGATGGAACTTGTCGTGGACCTGTTTTATGTATGGGAGTGACGATTGCGTCCTTCCAGTCCATAGGTAACACACCTTGGTCAAGTGACATTTTGAATATCACAGTCAGTGGGGCTGCGATATATTGGGCAATATGTCTCAAGATTTTAGGGTGTAGTTCATCTGGTCCTGTTGACTTCTCCATGTTTAGGGTGCTAAGAGCCTTAAGCACATCGTTTTGGTCGAAGTCCACGGTGAGCAGCTGGTTTGTTGACTCTGTAATTGGGTCTGGTTCTTTCTCTAGAGGAGGTTCCTGAGTGAAAACTGCCCCAAAGTAGTCAGCCATAACCTCAGCTTTTTCCTGATCTTCCTCTATCATTTCAGATTCACTTCCTACTTTAATTAGGTTGGGAATCCAATGATGAATCCTTGTTCTGTAGTTTATGTACGAGAATATCCTCTTGGGCTGCTTGAGTGCAGATTCTGCCAGCTGCATTTCATATTTTCTTTGCGCTTCCCGAATTTTAGTTATACACTCGTTTCTTATCGATCTGTAACGTTCCATCGTACCCGCTGTGCCAAGGCGGATGGCAACATCCCAGCATTTCTTCTTTTGTCTTAGTAAGCGTCGAATATCCCGCCCTATCCAGGGATGTCCGTGCTTCTTTTTCTTTGGGACAGTCCAGGGTATGTATGGTTGAGTTACCCGATTGTATAACTGCCTGAATAGAGTCCATGCCTCTTGTACTGATGCCTTTGAGTCAATTTCCCAGTTCTCAGCCGATGCTGCGGAGTTAATTGCCTGCATATCTGCCTTCCATATGTTAGGACGGGCCGGCGCAATTGTTTGACAAGCAATCTCAGCCATGAATTTGAATAAGATGACTGCATGGTCACTTCTCCCAAGTGGTGGGAGAAAAGCCGTTTGACCAACGTCATCACCGTGTGTGAAGACTAAATCTAAAAGAGAAGAGTTTCTTAAGTCGTATCTTGTGGGATCTCTAATGTGTTGGAATAATGCTAGTCCAATCGAGGTTTCTAACAGTTTGGAGTCGAACGACGATATGGATGACCCTACTTCTAAGTTAACCCAGTTTATATATGGTGCATTAAAGTCGCCTACTACAAGGCTTTTACCGTTGTTACACCAGGACTTAAGTTTACTAAGGAGAAAATCATCTGCTACACATTCTGGACTGCGATAAACTACAACTACTTCAATATCTTGCCTTCGGCATTTCAACTTACATCTCACCAGTTCACATGTCCCTGAAACATGTGCTACTGTCTCAGCTAATCTTATGGTTAGGGTACTTTTGGTGTACAAATAACCCCGCCTCCCCTTCGGTTTAATCTATCAGCCCTACTGGTTATGAAACCAGTCAATTGGATTTCACTATCTAATACTTCTGACGTTAACCAAGTTTCCGAGACAGCGATAACGTCCGGTTTTTCTTTGTCCACCACTGACTTCAGCTCCGCCATTTTATTTAGTAGGCTGCGAGCATTTGTGTAGCACACTTTTAAGTCTGTGGAGAGCTTTCCCTTGCCACCCAGAGTGGCTTGGGGATCGTTTTGCTCCGAACTTTTACAATCTGAAAACCCTTAAGAACGAGGTTTCTTTCACCGTTTCGGCGACGCTCGTTTATTTCCGCTTCTGCAGCTCTTCTCTTAATACGATCAGCTAGGCTGAGGTCCTCACGGACATATATTCCGGATCCAATCAGTTTACGTGAATTACTTAGAATCAGGTTCCTTTCTTCCACCGTGTTGAATGTAACCTTTAGGAGGCGGTTTTTCTGAGGACTTTCGGAATCCACCTTTTTTCCTATTCTATAAAGCTTACAAATACTAACTCCTGAAACTGTATCTGGGAGTAGTTTACTTAATGATGTCTTAATATGATTGAGATCATGTTCAAATCTTGCCTTTGGTTCAGTATCTGAAGATTCTCTTATCTTATGAAAAATGACTGATCTATCAGAGAGATCTGTCTTTTCACGCGGTGGGGACTTTTTTTCTGATAACATCCCTTCCAATGTTTTGCTGACCAGCTGCGTTTTGCCTACAGCCTTTTTCTTCTTATTTTTTTTCTTCTTACCGAAGTCCATTTGTCACCACTCAGAACAGCCACACCTGGACTATGTGGATGAGCGTTTAAAACGCCTAAACCTTTTCCCCTTGTCGTATCATAGGACACGAGGTGACCTTATACTGGCATTTCGTATCTTTAATTACGATTTGGGTCTTACCTTTTTGCTTCCTCCAGCACTAATAATCTCCGAGGTCATAGAAAGAAGGTTCATAAACCACGATCTAATAAACTTAAAGTAGGGTCCCGTTTTTCTCATCGAGTAGTCAATGATTGGAACGCCCTACCCGAACAAGTGGTATCAGCCCCATCAGTGAATATTTTCAAGGAGAAGCTGGACCTTCACTGGAAAGTAATGTGTTAGGACTAATACAGGTTCACCAACCTACTATCTTTATTACTGAAGACTGAAGACTGAAGCTTCAACAATATCGTGAAGTGGGGATTTCCTCCTGTTGGTGATTTGATGTGAAAGTCAACAGTCAGATGCCAAGTAATTTTTCCTGAACTCGTAAACCTTTTTAGATCATGCTCGTAAATTCCGTTTCTTGAAAGACAATCGAAAAGAGGACATATCAGATTCGAATTCATTACTGAGTAGTTTTAAATCTGTGTTCAAGTTACTGATTCTTTCACTGGACAGGGGAAATAAATTCGGTTTAATCAGTCTGTCATAATAAAGACGTTTTGCGATTCTGAGAACCACCTTAGCTGTGGTTCTCTGAACCTTTTCCAACAGCTCATTGTCTCTTTTTAGGCAGGGTCTAGGCACTCGTATGGAATACTCGAGTTTAGGATGAATACTGTATTAGAACAACACATATAAGCAAACAATTGTTTTTAGTTAGATCGTCATCAGGCCTTACTCTAATATACATGAATATTCATACGAAGATTTCAAACCAATCAAGGCAATTTGGGTCAATAATCACAATACTGTATGAAAAGTCAAAAAAGTTTCAGTATCGGCATAGCTAGATTCTCTACGTACTAGCCATAGGGTTCTAGAAAATTTGAAAGCTATCTTACGGCCGTGTGGGGCAGTTTTTATGTTTTGGTCAACGATGACTCCTAGGTCAATGTGTGTTTGGATAACAGGTAGTTCATTGTTATTTACCGTGTATGTATCTTTACCCTGGTAGTCAATATGCATCATAATACACTTGAAAGCATTTATCGGCAACTGCCAGCCGAGATTCAACGCTTCCTTATATATCAATAGCCTTCCAAATATTTATTCTAGCCTCTTTATTTCTGACTTCTGACTTGACTGTGTTGGTATACTTCGATAATAAAGGTGTTACGTGTAAAGATGTTGTCAAACCCCGGTTACTTGTGAAATCTCTTATCTTATGTCAGTTAAAGAAAGTCAAATGCAAGAATGAGTCAGGAGAAAATATCCCAAATCTGAAAAACACGTTTCATACAACTAACTGGGGAGTGTTTACAGATGATTGACTGAAACATGTCGTAGATATTATCAATTATCATTTTAAATTCAGTTTTGATGCTTGTTGTCCAACTAAACCATTTTCGTATGTTTTAATTGACTTACATTTCCACTTCTGAAACGATTATGGAGGACGAAGGAAATAATGTACAAATAGGAAAACTCCATTGAAGTTCGAAGGCTAAACCTGAAAATCAGACTCCTGAACTGAATGTGTACTCAGAAACACCAGTCTTACAAAAACTCTTCAAGTATGTGGGAACTATTTAAATGACTTGTAGGTGAGAGACACATCAGAACCGATAACCGGCCAAATGTTTGTGAATTAAATAAGTCTTTTATATGTCAGTCATCCAATGACATGCTTCCTATATCCATATGTTTGAAGGATAGTTGTGTTCCGATTTCCATTGAAACTGATGTCCGAAAATGTTTCTAGTCAATTATCTCGTCCCAGTGTTTGGGATCTGATGAAATTTCACACCTTTTTCTGAGAAGCATGTTGATATTCCGTGAGCATCATTAACCAACTAACTAATCTCATGACGGAAATATGGAAAAAGATAAAGATAATCCCAATATCTTGGAAATTATCTTGCGATGAAAATGCGGAATTCGGCACAGTGTCAATAACTTTACCTTTCCTCTAACGATGAAAAAATTAATGCTACTCCTACTCTAACCTGCATCATAAGTGCAGATGGATCTATATCACTTTGGTTACAAACGCAAACGAAGTACCTCAAATACTGCTGTTGTGCTGCACCATAATACAGTGTTCAGCTTGGAAAAGGGTAAAAATTTTGTTCGATGCACTTTACTGGATCACACTTTAATTCATAACTCCATTCCAAGACAACTTTGATCAGCACCAACACCGACGGCTGGGTGTGTTCTAACCGCTCTGAAATAGAATAGCACACTTCACTTGGAAAAAAGTGTATGACATTTCTATTAATCCAAGATGGTGCGCTATAAGAGGCTTTTCTTTCCACTTTCGTTTCCTCATTTTCTCTGCATGATCTGCCATCTTCTACAATATACAGATGATCTAACTGTATATATGCTGGTTTCTACCTCCTTACACGTTGTAGAAGTCAGTGAGATATTGTTTCTCATCGAACAATGTTTTATCGTTAATGGTAACACACTGGTACATTCTAAATGTCAACATGCCAACTTTGGCCTAAAATATGGATAGCACTTAAACACTATGTTGGAATCCTACAAACTTCACACTATTGAGGTCTTGTGATAAAAATGGTGTCTAACATTGTTTACAGCAGTGTAATTTTTACTCCGATCTCTTATGGTATCGAATGGAGTTCTCCGTATGACATACTATGTGAAGAAGCCACATGTTTCCACCATTACTCGACATTTACTTTTATGATTTGTAAATTCTTGCATATTATCTATTGTTCTTTAATGTCCCTCGTCACTCTTTCTTCGATTTTTAAAAAAAGACTGCCGTATTTGAGAGATTGATGAAGGCAGTTAGTAAAGTGTGTAACGAGTCTTTCGAGGTGATTATAAATATGGTTGAAAACATTACTATTTTACTAAAAGAAATTTTATTTAGTTCTAGATAGTTTGTTTACTTGGTTCATATGTATAAGTATGCGGCTATTATTTTCTTAATTCCTAGCTTTTGTTTATTAAAGAGAAACATAGCAAAATGTTTTTGCCTAGAATTCTATATTATGGTATTGAATAACGACATTGGTAATAGTTATAAACGATCAGCTTCTTGCAAATAATCTTTTCAAGAAATTTACTAGCCACGTGAGCTAGGCTTACGAGTCGATAGATCTACGGTTTAAGTTTGGTGCCTGTTTTGAGAGCAAGATACACTGTGACGCTCTTCCTACCTTGAATTACAGAGGTTAAAATATGTTCTTAAATGGCTTGCAATGGAATTTGTCTTAGCGACCTGTATAATGCATTTTGTTTGGTCCTATAGATTAACATATACAAAGTTTGTGCAACAGACCAATGACACCAACTGTTTTATGAGGAGAAAGGTTGATTCAGCGAAGAGTTTTCCTTTCAGCGAATTCATCTTCAAACTTCTACCCGCAACTGATTTATTTCTGTTTCTGTGATCTTACTCGTTACATTTAATCTCAATTTAAACATTTTACCTCATCAGGCTGAGCCATCATTTCCCAATAATGATTTCCCGATCTATATTTTGATGAATATTTAAGCCACTGACAATCAAACGACTGTTATTTTCTCTGTTTAAAAATAGTTTAATACCTTTGTTTATTACACCTCACTGTCACCATGTGTAACAGAATATTGCTATCATTATTATTGTAATTATTGTCATCATCCTGAAAAGATAGGTATACATACTCGCGACTATATGTAGTGACCTGCTTTTATTAAGAGAACGCGATTGGTTTAATGGAAACAATTATTATTATAACCAATTGAACCAGTGATTGTTTTGCTGTGCTGGTTCATTTAACTGTAGTAAAGACACCCATTACTCCCCATTATTCTTCCGTTGACTGTGACCTTGTACGCTCTCACGTTCTCCCATTGATTCCCCTTGTATTTGCCTTGGCACGAGCTCGGGATTCTTCCGATACCACGAGATCGCCAACGAATACATCTCGACTACAACCATCAACTGCCTTCTGATATTTGGCTTACGGGGGATCTTATCGGTTAACTGGCACATAGTCTTCCTGTAATGGTGATCATAGTCAACCGCGACTCGACGCCACACTACATGTACAGCTTTGAAAATGAATCTGCCGAAAAGAGAACTCTTTGATGAACCAATCGTTTTTGTTTTTTGTAATGGTTACATGTGTTGATTAGAAGTATTTGGACTATTATACAGAATAAGAGCCCCAGAAGTAGCGTAGTCTGAGGCAACAGAAATAGGTGAGCACAAATGAATGTATTGTATGTGGAGTTCAAAATCAGGCAGATGTCAAGTACGAAGGAATCATTGGTTCGGACAAACATCACATCACAGTGTCCATAATATGGACGAAACGAATTTATGTAAATCGAAGTAAAAGGCACCGCTAGAGTTTAAACCTTACTGAGGTTATTTGTGAGTACTTAATTATTCACGACTGTTACTCCTAATGAAGGAGCATAGGCTGCTCATCCGGATTCAACACCCAACACTGTCCTGGACAATCCCTTCCAGTTCTTTACAGTTGATATTCATTCTTTCCATATCTGCTCCTCATTCCTGACTCAGTGTGTTCTCTGGCCTTCCTATTTTTTGCTTGCGTTGGGAATTCTAAGTTAGCGCTTGACTTGTGAAGCAGTTTGATGATTTTCTCAATGTGTGTTTTATCCACTTGCAGCATCTTTCCCTAATTTCCACCTCAGCTGAAAACTAATTTGTTTTCTCCCATAGTAGACTGTTCTTGGTAGTATTCGCACCACGGACATTGAGTATCTTGCGTAGACAACTATTTGTAAATATTTGTACATTTTTGATGGTAGTTGTAGTTGTTCTCGAAGTTTCAACTCCGTACAGAAGAACTGTCCTGACGTTTGCATGGAAGTTTGTGACTTTGGTATTGGTCGACAGTTGTTTTGACTTCTATATGTTCTTGCTTTGCCAATCTTCGCGTTTGCGTCTGCATCGGATCCTCCTTGTTCATCGATGATGCTACTCAGATATTTGATTGCTTCCACCTCTTCCAGAGTTTCTCTATCGAGCGTAAATGAATAGTTCTCAAATTGAGAAAACATGAGCTTTATCAGAACAAGCTTTCACAGCCGATGTTGTGCTAATATCTCCATAAAATGCCAGGATGATACCCTATCTTCCTTGTTCTCTGGTTTATGTACGAGAATAAACGTTTTGTGTCCCCTACAGACTACCAAGCAAGCTTTGCTTTTTATGATATTCTAGACTACTGGAGGGTTGAAAAACAAACATTTCGAGCTTCCAAACTCTGAGGTTTTGTCTCATCAATAGTCAGCAACACACATTAATCCCACATTCCTTTTCTCATAAGAATAAGAGAGTGGACTTCCTTAGTAAAGCACGATGGGTACTTCTACGGAATTCTCAGCATAGTCCATGGAATGTGTGGTGCAATGGATGTTATGTACAAATTTCTGAATCATCCTCAGTTCTTTTTAATGAATGATTCTGATTCCATCATTCAATATGCCTAATATTCTGAACACACAATTTGTGGCTGCATCTGTGCCATTTGACGGAAAATCGTCTAAACAAAACCTATATTACTTATCACATAGAAGGATTAGAAGCTAAATAATCGGTTTTTAAATTACCTGTAGCGTTGAATAAATCCCTGACATCGATAGCTCCATAAGTTTTCGACATTTGATGCTGACCGTATCAGTTCTAATGGACTCACTTAGCTGAAGGTGCTCGGTCACGGACTCGCACCAGATCACAAGTGGTTACTCCGTGCTCCACATCTGCCACGACCGCTAGCAAGCTTGGTTCAAAAGCCTATCAAATATATTTTAGGACCTCTTCGTGTCTGACTGTTGATTTGAGTGGGTTGGCACATTTTGATTAGAAAGGCTGTTACTGATTAAAGCTTTGTCAAATTCCAAATAGTAAATTTAGTTCTTACATATCTTCGTTCTTCTTATCTTCCAAAACTGGGTTTACGAAGACACTTCGGAAAAGTTCACAACCCCATAACAAATTACTCGTCAGTTGATTATCGACTTTCATCAGTAAAACTCGTTAAATCAACATGTGGTTGGAACTCCATCTCTCGAAAAGCCCAAATAAAATTTGGATTAACTGAGCGACCAATAGTAGTAGAACTAGTAAGGGCCACTTAGACTCCTATCCCTTTCAATGTGTAACTGAAAACCATTTTCCGAGTACCATGGAAAAAGTGTACAAGAAAATCGTATTTTCATTTACACAACATTTTATTGTCACTTATAATAACTGCTAAATTTACGTGAAATAATATTGAAAAATTGGTAATAATATTAAAAATTGCACACAAATTATGTATAACTCAAGCAGCCATATAGAGTTACGTTCCTATTTGAAACATCAAGGTCGTATGTGGATTGCGGTGAGGATCCTTAAAACTATTACGGAAGCTCTGATTTAGAGTGATATTTATATTCTCAAGTTCAAGTAAGCCTCCTCAAATTTGTAAACAGTCATAATGTTGTTTGTGTTTTTGTTGCTGGAATTGCTTCTTGCTTGTGAATATTCAAGTATGTTTCACTTCAATGTGGCACAAGTTTATGAATAAAATGTATCATCTTCAGGGCTTATTGTGAAAAGCCACTCAGTGCAAGCCACCTAAATAACAGGCCCAAAGCTATTATGGGACATAAATATGGCAAAACCTGCCAACGGACAACGCGTTAAGTGTCGAAGTCAATTGATTACGCTTGCATTATAAGTAGTTTTCTGGTTACTATTCACCGATATCTCACGCTAGGTTTAATGGTATGCCAATAACTCAGTTTTAGTCTCGAATTTAAACTAATGGATGTTAACACTGTCCTATGTAATTTTACCCAATCTCCCGCCATAGTAAACTTTGGGGAAGTTTTGGGGAAATGGCATAAAACCCCAAAATTTCCCCAGACCTGGGGAAGTCCCCCAATATTTTCCCGAAATTCCCCCTTAACCTTGGTCAAGGTCATTCGACTTTGGAAGTTTCCCCAAACTTTGGAGCTCGGGTAACTTTCCAAGAGTACAAGAACAATGTAAATATTATAGGGAGGATTTATTATCGTCTTCCTAATTGCCCAGTTCTGTTTGTATTCATCTTTCATTGCCCTTAATATAATTTAATTCAATGTGATACGTTGATTTCTCTTTGTGTAAAATTTTTCTTGGTCATTGGTACCGTGTAGTCCTGTGAAATGACTGGAGTTGGCCTGATCAGTTCTTGGTCTGAGGTGGGTTATCTTATGGTAAACGATTAATTTGTTGCTGTTTTAGGTAGATAAGTTCCAGAAAAGCAATAACGTTACTCAGTTGTTCGATGAGGATCCGGAGATGTTCGGTATTTTGCGAGTACTCATGTTGCTTTTACGTAATAAATTGTTTTTAGACGGATCAAGCCTTTTCCCTCATTTTTGTAGTCTTTGGAAAAATTCCCAAACAGCTTTATCGGAGATCCCTATTCAGTATGGTAATGCATGCCACAAGATTGCTCGTAGATTACCCAGTATGTTTACCAAAATGTCTCATCGTAAAGGGTAAAATAATCAAGTTTATATAATCGCCTTTCTACAAGATTGCCTAATGTCCGTAATATTACAGAAATGATTAATCTTGAAAGGAACACATGGAATCTTATTTCAAGTATTTACTTGGACCGTTTTGAGTCAGAATCTAGGACCGGGACGGTTGAAGGAAATGATTTATCTGTACGAATCTTATGTTTGTGTTTCGTGTTTTCTTATGTTTAGTCTAGTTTGTCAAATCATTCCTTTAGGGCTCTAAGAATTGTCGAGAGGTATTTAAATCTGCATGAAGTTATCTGATTTTTTTGGTCACTTTAAGTATAATTGTACTTGCCGGTTACGGATGATATGGTTTAGGACTGTTTATTAATGACAGTAACTGTTTAACTGTTGTTCATAGTGTTTCCGCTTGACTGCATGGCATTTACCACTCAGTCGTTAGGTCACATATACGAAACACCCATTTCCGTTTTATTTGGTAGTGACGGTTGTTTGACAAATATGACTTAGGGCGTGATAGACGAATTGGTTACTGTCTTCTCAACTAGCATTATGCAGATGATGTAGTCCTGTTTGGCAAAGACGACAAAATAAGGTCTTCTGACCACTTTAAGCTAGTGTGCTTGGAATGTGTTTCTTTCTCTCTAAGTGCAAAATTTTGTTTCAGGACTGGTCTGCATCAACGCTTGAATTGACGGTAGGGAGTGGAATAGTTGAGTGTGTCAATCGATTCACTCATCTTAGAAGTTTGACTATCCCGAAGGGTTGGTGTCTGACATAATCTCAGCACGGATTCAGGAGGCTTAATTGACGTCTACCAACTTGCATCACTCATAGCCTAGGTCAGATGTAGGTTTGTCAACTAAAAAGAGAGTTTGTTGCTCAGCGGTTCTCTCCGTCATACTTTATGATTGTGAAACGTGGCCATTAAGAATAGAAGATATTCATGGGCTACTAGTATTCGACCATAGGTGTCTTGGAAGCACTGCTCGTGTATTCTGGGGCCTTCTAACAAGCGATGCCTGGACTAGTAATGGGGTACTAGATAAGGATGGCAAATTGAGTGATGAGGTAGTAAACCCCCATCTAATAGGGTGATTAGGACATGTGTTACGAATGCTCAACCATTGCTTACCTCGAAGGGCGATGTTGTCTGTTGTAGGAGTAGGTTGAGAGGAAGTCAGAGGTGACAAAACCACAACATTTCAACAGTTCATAGTGACACCGAATGTTAGACTAAGCCCTGTAGGTAGATGCAAACTATCTGGTTGGAGTCCATGTGATCATTGTAACCAGTCGTTAGAGACTTTGAATGACATAGCTTAAAATAGGTCGCAATGATGCAGGTGCATCTACTCCTTGTCTCCACTTAGTTTCCAAGCTCCTAACTCCCCCTCCGCAATGAATTTTTTTATTCCACCAGTTCACATTTCTTCTCGAATCGTACCTTCGACGCATGATCTTATTTAATACTGTTGCAACCTCTACTCCTTTGGGATTTGTGTAATCTGTGCTAAGGGAGTGTGTGTACTTAAACTGATGCACTTATATGCCAGTTTCTGCATTATATATAACCGACGTCTTTTAAAGATTTATTTCTTTTCAACTAGGTTCTTGCAAAAACATGTGTGAAACACCTCATAAGTTACGCTAACATAGTGGAAAAGAAATTTGATTTATCGATTGTTTTTATTGTGTTTATAGTTTTATAATCTTTGTCTTGAAAAGAGATTAGATTTATTGAGATCACCAAGCGATCTAAATTGAGCAACCAATGAAATTCGGTACACTAGGCGAGTATTTCGTCGTAGTCTGGGGTTCTACAAGAGTGTTCATCAACGACCTCGTAGTTGGGAATCGAGCGTAGGACCTTTAGTCTAGCACGCGAACTCTTAACCTCTAGACCACTGAGCTGGCATCCAATAGTGTACGAGTCTATCTTTAGTCGGTCCATGATTTAGTCTATACATTGTTTGTGCTTCATAACCAGACTAATTATCTCTAGTTTTCATAAATCAGTTTAGTGTTGTTTTATTCCTTTTAACCTGTTTTTTCTATTTTGAATTGTATATATCATCTGTTAGAATTTTAATCACTCTGAACGGGAAATAATTCGATTACTATACGAAAGAGATAATGAACTTCGTGAAGCTCAGGTTTGTAATTTATTTAAATTATTCTATAATGTATTGGTTAACTTCGTGTTTATGACGTTCATACACCATTTGTTCTTTTTGGATTCTGAACCAATCTTAGATTTTAGTGGGGAGAAAACGAGTATTAATCTAGTGGTAAATACCTCAAGGTCTTGCTGACTAGAATCATTTTTTTTTGATGTACACAAATGTAGGCAAGAGCGTTCTCATTATTTTCTTATTGCGATAAGTCTTTATCGTTCACATAAGTGTTCGGTCTGCACGGTCAAGTTCGTCAATAATATCGCAATATTCGTTGTACATCCTATAATTAGAAAAAATCACTTGGGCCATGAAAGCATCTCTGGTTGTTCTGATGCCAAAATCCTCAGAAATATCGGGAATGGATAGTGAAAAATCATCGTTTCCACCTGTATTTGTTTCTAATTGAGATTTAACCCTCTAGGGTTTATGGCACATAAGTTATCCACAATAAAGATCCAATTGATACGTTTTTGACTCATGTTAAATAGTTTGTCCACTGTCAAAATGCATTAATCTTGATACGTTTTCTGGAAAACTCAAGAGTTAATTTGTCTTGCTTAAGAAGTACAGCCAATCTGTCCTTTTAAAGCATTAATCTATTTACTACATGTCCAGTACTATAGAGGATTTTCTGGATAAGATATTTCAGCAAGATCATTCTAATTTTCATTTACATTTCAGAAATACAAGAAAACATACATATCATAAAGACTGAAAATCTTTTATAAAAAATTTGCAAGAATGATTACTAGTTGCGTTTCTTCAATTATGAAAGCTTCCGGTTCTGCTTATAACCTTTTTCATTTCAAAATATGTTTCCTGAATTAGATGCTGTAACGATTTAACATTTGTGTTTAGAAGTATTGGCTCTGATTTACTTCTGTTTTGTTCCATATCAACGAATGAACTAACATTAGAGAGTGAATTAGTCCAGTGCATCGATTATTTGACTTGCCTCAGAAGTCTCATCACCCTTGATAGGTTGATATCTGATGAAATCTAGGTGCAGGTTTAGAAAGCTCGCTAAGCTTTTGCCGAATTACATCACTCGTGACGTAAAGAATATCCACATCTGCCAACTGAAGGGTAGCTACTGTGCAGCAGTATGCTCTATATTGCTCTGTGGCTGTAAAGCATGGTCCATAGAAGTAAAAGACATGCATAAGCCGCAGGTTTATTGTCATACGTGTTTTAAAATCATTATTCGCGTAGCGTGAAAAAATCGAGTAGAAAGTGTTAATGTTAAGAATATAATTTATGAAGTTGTGAGTCTTTATAGACTGATATGGTTGGAACATGGATCACATATGCATAACCACTGCCTGCGTCATTGCGTGTTGTTATCTGGCGTAATAGAAGAAAACTAGGAATGATCAAACCAAAATATGGCATCAGTTCATGAAGTTATTCATTATCGATCTTAGTTATGTAGATATATGCAGACTACCTGATCTTAGCAATACATTCATTTATCAGTCAGATGCGTTGGCCGACTTAGGTAACATCTAGTCATAATGTTGGAGATACATTTATTCTTTTCCCCTAGATCTTGAGTTCCAGTTTCTTCATGCATACCCTCTCATTTTTTTTTCCTTTCGAACCATGTCCTTAATGTTTAATCTTTTTCAATATTATTACCGTTACATTATTTCTATTCACTTACCACTAATGTTAATTTTGACTCATCATGCTAAAACACTTTTGTGGCAGGCTTTACTTTGTATCTGATTAGGTTTTCCGGTTGATAAAAAAGATGAAGTTTTGAATGTCATGGGTGCTTTATACTTGATAAAATTACATTTCCCGGTTGTTTACGAGATTTAAAATGGCCATTTTCATGATGATGTCAAAATGGTACACCATCAACAGGACTAAAATCTCTCGAGTGTCTACGCAACATGACTTTGCCTTTTCCCTAAGTCTAGGAAATATTGAGGAACGCTGTAGAAAAATACATAATATGCAAGAATTTACAAATTGCAAAGTAAAAGTTAAGTGATGTCAAAAACATGTAGCCTCTTTCCATGACTGTTTAATCGGAAAATTTTATTTGGTATTCGTGAAATTTGCGAAAACCGAAAGAGGTCGAAAGAAAAACTTACATAAAGATAAATGGCTTCTGGCGTAGTTTTTACAACAGAATTGTCAGTGAAAAGAGTTATAAAACGTCCCTTTCAATGTGTTTAGTTGCTTTTCGTGTTTTAGGGCTAAAGTTAACAGTTTAGTATTTAAAAAGTTTAACTGTAAGACTGGCCAATGTATGTTACGAACTCATTCATTTCCAAGCAATCATCAGAGGAAGAAACTGGCATGCATACGGTAAGATCATCAGCATAGCTATACGGGAACAATGTTCAACCATGAGAGGACTCCATACTTGTATTCCATTGGGAAGCTCAAATATAATGTGAAACTTAGAAATTGTTATACAGTGCACTTAGGTGAACACTCTTGTTAATATTATGAGCTAACAAATCAACATTAGAAATATCTAGCTAGTCAATACTGATGATAAAGCTTACTTTCACCAGAAAATGTGCTTGTTTAAATGAAGTTCATCTATAATACATTTGTTGTAGTGTGTTTATGAGCCACTGACCTGTTGATTAAAATGGTTATCTGAAGTGATATTCATTTGTTTCAAATTTCCTCACCATGTTTTTTCCATCATCTTTGTCAATCTCTTATTGTTGTTTCATTAAGTCATATCACTTTAATTTTCATTTTCATTGTAGATATTAATAGATTGGTTAGAACAAATAGTTCGTGAGCAGATCGAAGAAGTTGCTGAAAAATACGAATGTTTATTCAATCAGACAACTGCTTGGTAATTTATTTCTTTTACCTTTATTCTAATTCATGCAACTCACATTGTACCTGTTTATATACTCGGCTTTTCGGGGTGAGTGATACCCATACCCAGCTGTTTGTACCAATTTAGGTGACGGAAGGATTCGGATGTACGAGCTGTTAATTGAAAGTTGACTGTTGTAACCACTAGTCTATTGTATTTTATTTGTATGCATGTTTTAAACATCGATATTTCGTTTTTTTGGTAATGTAATCCTTCAAATGTAGTGGTTTAATGTCATTGGAGTGATGGTATTTTGGCTTAATCTTCCTTCAACTTTCCACTTTGAGTGCAGTATGAATATTAGAATTTCTCCGTTACTAACTGCCATCCTTTACCTAACATCTTATCCAAGAATTATGCTGATATCATGCAGCCACTTAGTGACACATTTTTAGTCGTTTTATTGTAATGCTCTGTGTTTGGGAGTTGATGCTGATATACGCTTTCTATGTACGACATCGGTTACTTGAGAGAAAAGATGAAGATTAAGAAAGGAAGCTTATTTGATTAAATCGAATTGTATGCACATGTATGTACTCATTTATATATATCCTTTGGAAGATTAAGTATGTCAATGGTTTATGTATCATCTCTTAAAAATAAAAGCCATCTCTTGGTCAACCATGTGCGTTGATCATTTGGCGATTTCCAATTGACCCATTGTTCCAGACTTCTCGATTAATGTTATATCAACCAAACAGATGAAAATTTAAATGGTCCCAATACTTCAGTTTTTGTCTGTTGGTAGAAATATCAATTATAAACTAACATCCTTGTTTTTCTGTAAGCAATGGGAAAAAACATTTAGAACTCACATAGTAATCTGCAATAAAGGGTCACTAATAGAATAGTAATGATTACAGTTTAAAAAATCAATCTTATGAGATTGATTAAAGTGAAAGAAGAATTCTAACTAATTGACTCTACTATAATTTGTTCTTTATGGAACCTAAACTATTGTAAGCTCTAATGGCTATTACTGGAAAATTTCAAAATGGGAAGAACTAGTTTATCTTTCACGATACCATTTACATATGAAGTTTTGTCACAGAAACTTGTCAATTGAATTGTTCGCTGTGACTACTAAGAACACTTATTCAGTTATTCTTCATCTAATTATTTTAATCTATAACCTGTGTACTAACTATTATAGAGTCTATTGATTTGAGTCTCATCGCAAATATAAATTCCTTCATGCATTTTTCATACCCACCTTTTAAAGCATAAATTAATACAGTGACAGGTTATTTATTTATATAAACACATAAACATTGGTACAATAAGGCACCAAATAGATATGCGCCACATAAATCATTCAGTTTGTGTGGGGGCTGTGATACTGCTTGGGTGCCCAGACCGAGGGCCACACCCGGAGTCTCTGACCAAGAGGTTTAATCCACAAGGTAGTGGAGCAACTTTAAGAGATGCAGTCCGATGGTAGTCGGTGACCAACAATATGTTCATACGCCATTCGTTCCTTCAAGATATTGGAGCCCATGTACACGATTGGTTTGGAATCAGGGTTTTCCAACTAACTCCCCTAGGTGGGCTCTCCGTGTCCACCAACTCAGTTAAGGCACCGAACGCTTGCTTTTCGTCCTCCGAATTTCGTAGACAACACCCTCGCCATGAGAAGGCAGTGAGTAGGACTTCCTTGGCAATGGTTATATGCACGTGGCCATATAAAAGCATTTGGAGAGGGAGAGCTAACTCTCCCCACTCGGCCATACCAGGGCATTTGGGGGCTACAAATTCACCTTGACCAAGAATAACTTGACATATTCAGACATTATTTTGATTGTACGAAATATATTCTATATTATTTCTTTTGTACTATTTAAGTTTGTGTTAATTTTATTTCGGTTATTTATTGACTCTGAAGAAGTGGCTTACATTAAGTCACAAAACGTCGTCAGAAATACAATTTTCCTACTTATTGGGATATAACAAAAAGACATTTTTATTATTAAAGTCCTTTATAATTAATATCTCGAAATCACGCCAAATATTGCCTTTTAATAAGTTACCAAAATGTAATGTAACTACAGGTTTGCATATTCGACTCCAATTCACATCTTCTTTGTGTTCAGGCTAGTGATACTTTTTGTATTACTAAACTTATTTGGACAAATCCAAAATTGAACACTGATATTAGTATTGTGGAATCACTAAATGGCAATTATTTTTGCGCTATTTAGATTGAATATTTGATGAGTAAATTTCAGAAGGGGTTTTGTGGCTATGATAGCAATTTTAGTAGTTGAGATCATGAGTCAGTTAACGTTAGACCACCATGAAAAATCTGGAAGCACTGGACGGCCGTCTCGTCCTACTGTGGAACTCCTCGGCAGTGCGCATCCACGATCACACCTAGCGGGACTCGAACCGAGGACCTACTTTTCTGGCGCGTGGGCGCTTAACCATTAGACCGCTGAGCCGGTAGCCAACGGTATTAATGTTTAACCTCAGCTAATCCAGTGATCTTTTCATACTTAAGGAGTAATACAACTTGATTAATTTCTTATTTATTAATCTCTTATTTTACAGGGAGAATACGGCACATTTATTGAGTTATCTTTCACAAGCAGAGCTTACTAAACATCGTTTGGTAAAAGAATTGGTATGTGATTTTGTTTTAAAAGTAGTGTAGGAGTTTTCTAGAATTTTAATATTATTAGTATTATCATGTAAATAAATTTTGGCCTCTATACTTCAATCATATTACCATATTCTCATTTTTCAATGTTTAAGCTTCATGAAGTTGAAGTATGAAAGTTAAGAGCTCAGTTAACTGGTCAATATTGCGAATATTCATTATGTTATGATGCAGATTAACTGAAACTAAGAATATAGACTCTGTAGTATTAATAGTGGTTTAAAAGTATTTTTTTCTCATCATGTAAGCTGTCAATCCTGAACTCAATCTTATACGTTTATGATTATGGTTGTTCCCGAGGCAAGCCCTAACTCGGAATCCTGAAGGGAAGCGGAAAAGAGGAAGGCCATAGAACACATAACGTCGGGAAATAGAAGCAGATATGAAAAGGATAAATAACAACTGAAAAGGATTGCCCAGGACAGGGTTGGATGGAGAATGCTGGTGAGCGGCCTATGCTCCTCCACGAGGAGTAACAGGTGTAAGTAAGTACCGTTGAAGTCTTCCACTACAAAAAAAAGAAATTAATGAAACTAATATCAGTCCAACTCCAAGTGAAACAAATCTTCACAAGCTTATTTAATTAAATCAAATTGACATTGTTTAGCTTTCTTTATTTGTAAACAAGTTCGCTAGTTCACTTTAAATCGTTCCTACAAATTTATTTCCATTGTGTATTAGCATCCGGATGCTGTAACCCTAACAGGCAATGAATTGGATCAGAAAGATCAAATTGATAATGATCGATTTATAAATTATTTATTCCTATGTCTTCGTGGTGGAGATCTTCATCGTGTAAGTGGATTACAAATTTGTTTTTTTTTTCATTTCTTCACATTACTATTATTTCTACTTGAATTTGTGTAGGCTAAAAAGTTTTTTTCCTAGATACTTTTGAAGAATAGTAAGTAGTGTTAAAGTTAAATTTAGGGTATTGTATAAAAATGCATGACGAATTGATGGAACTATGAGTGTTTATCGAATGAGGCAGCTGAAATATGTGTTACATATGATCATGAGCATCAGCTCAAGTTTCTACATCACACCAACATTAAGATGTCTGAATAGTTTAATTATTAGAAATATTAATGGTAGTAAGAAAGACCAAGCATAGAAAATATGATTTGGGAAGAAAATCTGAATTCATGAAATAAAAAATTCAAATAATCAAGCAACTTGGTATTTCTGGAAAGACGAGTAGTGAATACACCCGCCCCGTGCGAACGATGCTAAGTTATGTCATTTAGAGTTTATAATCATTGGTTACGGTACCTATGTGGAGGTCAACCAAATTGTCTGCATCTACGTTCACGGCCCAATCCAACAGTTAGTGACTTGATGGAATGGTGTCAAGTTTTTGTTTGACCACTCCTGGTTTTCTTTCAGTCTACTCTTTAAATAACATCTCCAAACCCTAATCTTCCCGATTACTGCTTATACTCTTATTACCTCTACCACTGCGGGATTTGAATCGACAACTGCATCTCTGTGTTAATGTGGTATGGCAACTCGAACTGATGTACGTACGTACGAAGTTCTACGTTGTTACTGACTGACTGACTGAATTGGACATCGAGGTGGTGGTTAGGAGTGCGTGATGTGTCCCAACCACCTCAATCGATTAAGATTCATTATTTCACCAATCGAATTCGAGTTCTTACCTAGTACTCTAGGTCTGTTGTCATTATTGCTCACTAGGTGGTCCCAACCCATGCTTAAAATATTTCGAAGGTGTCCGTGTACAAATAATTATATATTCATGATAAGATTTTCTACAAAATGAGTAGTGTACTGATTAAACGATGACGCAAAATGATACGATATAGTCAAGTGTAACAATGGTCATTTCTATTTCCTTCGAAAGACCTCATATTTATAGCAATACATGTCCGATTTCTGCATATATTGTTCGAAATATCTTTGAAAGCTATCAAAAGTTAGGTTCTTCAATTGGTTTGTCGTTTCACTCTTTGTTATGATCTTAAGCACTGACAATCTTCACAAAACTATTTTATCAATAATCATGCAGATATTAAAGTGACAATTTTATGCACAAGAGTTTTCCCCAGTATAGCATTTTCAACAACACGGAAAACCAACTGTTGTTCTTGTAGTCTTCTTAACCCTACTCCCACCCTGCAACTCTTGATTCATGCTTTAATGCATTCCGTTTTCACTGGGTTATCTCAATAAACAGCTTTCAATACTTCGTGGACTTACTGAGTTTTTCTGAAGTTCTAAAGACTTCTATAAGCTCAGTTTGTATACTTCGGACTGGAATTACAAAAAAAATATTCTCTTCCATTGAATAAATTCATTTGACTTCATTTATTATTGTTTTTAAGGCTCAACTTCTTTGTACACAACGTGGTGAATTTTGGCGTGCTATTTCACTTGAAGGTTGGCGACCATTTCATTATTCTGGTTTTGTGGAAGGTGAATCAACTCAATTTCAAACATTAAAAGATACAGATGAAAATTTTACTCATTCAAAACCATTACAAATGAAATTCAGTATCGAAGGGAATCCAACGAGAATTTTATACAAATCTGTGTGTTGGTGGAATTCAGAGAATGTAAGCTCTTATTTGAATATTGACATTATTCATATCAACTGCTATGGCTCAATTTCGTGGATTGGTTGAAGTTAAACATTAACACCGTTGGATACCGACTCAGTGGTCTAGAGGTTAAGTGCTCGCGCGCGAGACTGATAGGTTCTGGGTTCGAATCTCGCGAGGTGGGATTATAGATGCGCACTACTGAGGAGTCTCATACTAGGACGAAATGACCTTCCAGTGCTTCCAGATTTTCGATGTTGGTTTAGCTTCAATTAACTCATGAATTCAACCATTAAAGACTATTTATTTTTCACTTTATATCCTATAAATGTTAGTTGATGTTAGAACCAGCTTTATTTCGAAGAAAGTTTTCTTTGTCTCATATTGAAAGTTTTGTTGGTTTTTTTCATTATTATTTACATATAGATAAAATTACGTTCATTTGAACGAGCTATTTATGCTACATTATCAGGAAATTTAAATGTTCTATCACAAATTTTACCAACTTCATGGACAGATCAAACATGGGCACATTGTCGTGCTTTAGTTGAAGCTCGTGTAGATTCTAGTCTACGTAGCCTATTGAATACTGGCCCTAGGGCTGATACACTGGTAAGTTAAACATTTTTCTGTGCTAACAATGTGTCATTAGAAAAAATAATAGTTCTGGTAATGTTATATGACACTTCTGTATATCATAAACAATATCTGTTTATAAAAGCCAGGTTGATTATTTCATCTTGAATTAATGTATCTTGATTTGACGTGGTGGTTAGGTTCGCCTATCGTGATGAACCAATCGAGCTATACTGGCCGGAACAGTCGTTCCTCAAGGTCCTGCCATGCTAGACATGTCGGTTAAAGAACGGTAAAACTAAAAGCAGCAAACCCAAGGTCTGAGGGCGAAGTCGTACTGCTGACTGTACAGAAGTGTGACGGCAGTAAGATGTTTCCTTCAGACAACCAGCATATCAGCTATGCTGCCCTCCCACAAGGAGGGGTGGGACTAGAAAAAGGTCGACCCTAACAATGCACACCTCGCCTTATCCTATGGATATCCGTCTCCAGCGGTAAGGTCTCGAATTGTCATGACATAATTCTTAAATGCTTCGTCCTGATTACTTCAACGACAGGGTAGATTGTCCAGTAAGGTTCGTTTCGACCACGCAATATCATGAATCAAAATATGGAGTGAGAAAATATCTATCTCACTGACTGGTGTCTTGAAATATTGACTTCTTTTTTATAACCGCTTCTTGACACTTGTCTAGTACTCTTAAACTAATGCACTTCACTCAACTACAAGAATTGTTTTGAGATACGATGTGTTTAAACGAAGCTAAACAAAAGAGATGTGCAGTAATAAAAATACATTTTTACGTAGAATTTCGATGAGAACTCCTAGTATCTTCTCAACTTTTCCATCAGCGTTGATTAGTTAAAAACATCAATCGGTGTGCATTATGCATGGAATTGCTGGGATTCTATCTTCCTAATATGTACGATCTTAACTAATAGGAAAATTCTTTCATTGTTTTGAATAATTTATTCTAATATAATTCTTAAAATATTAATTTGTTAGGCTGTTACTGGGAAAACATCTAAATACTGGCCTCTGGATGGAGGTTTAAGCTTGCCTGAATCAGCTTGGACACCAGGTGATTGGACATTATCCGATGTATTTACACGTGTCGATGCACGTTTAGGTTGGTCTGCTACTGGATGTTTAGAAAAATGTAATAATATACGCATGAGATCAGTATTGTGTTCTGCAATGAATGATTTCTTAATGGATGATACTTCATATTTGTACACGAATGATGATATTGGTGGCAGTGGTACCGGTGGGAATGACATGGAATCACCTTCTGTATATGCTATTATTTATTGCATTTTCTATGCTGTACAACAAACTATCATGTTAAAGAATTATGATTGTAAGTTTTATTGAACAAAACATTTGATCTTTAAGTGTAACTTTATCTTTTAAAATGCAAGAGAAAGGCAAATTCATGTCATTTACTAATTGGCCACTGTTTATATTATTATTTATTTTAACACATAGATATTGGTACAAGGAGGCACCAAATACATATGCGCCACACAAATCTCATTTGATATGTGTGATGGCTGTGATACTTCCCGGGTGCCCAGACCGAAGCAGGTGGTTCACTTAGGGGACCACACGCCAAGCCTTTGACCTAAAGGTCTGATCCACAAGGCAGTGGAGCATCGTAAGGCGATGCAGTCCCATGATAGCCGGTGACCAACAATTGGTTCATACGCCATTTGTTCCCGCAGGATACTGGAGCCCATGTGCACCATTGGTTTGGGATCCGATTAAAGTGCCGGACATTCGCTTTTCGTCCTCTCATTTTCGTAAACAATACCCCTGGTGTGAGAAGGCATTGAGTAGGACTTCCCTGGCAGAGGCTATATATGCGTGGCAGTATGAAAGCATTTCGAGAGGGAGAGCGGACTCTCCCCACTCCCGACCATACCAGGGCATTTGGGGGCTGTTTATAAGCTGTAATAGAAGACTTAAACAATTTCATTTTAATATTGATGATGAAAGCATATACAGTTTAGATACTTGATTTTTCATAAGTTTCATGTTGAATTCTTTAACTAGATACCGTTTTTTTGTATTTGTGTGTAATTAGTTAGATTAGTGTTCCTTGTACAATTAACATATATTACAGTCTGTTGGATGTGAACGTTTTCCTAATCGTTTAACTGCATTGATCGAAAGAATGTTGTTTATTATTGAGTTACAACCACTATCTCAATTTTGGTATCTTTCACAAAAGCTCTATTATACAAACATTTTAGATGAAGTTTTGTCATAACAGCACTCATCTTAAGATTTCTACAGGTCATCTGAGTAATACTTGTAACCGAAGTGGGTTTGTACAAAATTTTGGACTTTGTGTGCATTATTTGTTCAAAATCTAGGCTTTCCACCTCCTTTTGGTAAGTTATCCCTATCTACCGTCTTGATTTAAATGATAGACGTTTGCTTTTACCTTCTCACTTTTTAGGGAAACATCCTACCATATAAAGGTAGTGAGTTGTAAGACTTCCCTGAAAGAATGTATAATATACTCAATAATTTTTAGAAAAACGAGTAGACTCCTCAAAATACATGTCATTGGTCACTACTCATTTGGTTATCATTAAAAAAAAATGCCTTTTGCTTATTGATGAATTATCTTAATTTTATTGTCAGTGTCTAGCGCATTTGTTGACTTCAATACATTCTATTTTCAATTTTTACAGCTTTTCTCCTAACTTTAGCCAATCTTATGCCGAAACTTGTATGTTATGGTTTAGGCGATGGTATTGTGCCAGATATAACTCCATTACAACCGCCAAATTTGAATAGAGTTGGGAATATTGATCACGTAGTTTGTCACACACTTCGATTTCTGACTCATTTTCTCCTGTTTTTAAAATCAGCAGATTCTGATATTCCGGTAATTAATATTTTTTTTTAGAAATTTTTTCTCTGGTTTATTGACAATTATTTGTTTGAACTTTGAGATTGTTTCTTTCGTACAAACGGCTAGTTTGGTAGCTCACTATATAGTGACTTGTTTTTCACCAGTTTGAAGCAAACAAACGGTTGAGTCCTTGTCATCACATCATGGCAACAATGAAGCCACGGTACCTTAATCTATTTAATAACAACCTTTTTTATCGTTAGACGCAGTTGGTCGTCATGTAACAGTCGTAGTTACGCTGTAATATTGGTTTACTGTTATGATTTATACAAACCAGTATCATGTTTGTTTCCACTTGCACAATTTTTAAGAGATATTGTGACCATAAACTCGGAAAGTTTTTCTGTAGATTGCTGTTATTTATGACCTCACTTTGATAGGACCTTCTAACCTAACGGGATGTCAATGACTATTAATGGGGATCCAGTGGATTAGCACAAGTTGCGCCCTGGTACCTAGTACAAAACTGACGCTATACCAATGCTACAAAGTTTCCGGACAGTTTCACGAGTAACAAATTTTTCGAATTGACAGATGTAGAGTAAATTTGGATTACTTCGGTAGATTCTTGAATACGGGTCTTTGATAACAAGACTTTCCGGACTACATAGTCAGAATTGTCTGTTGTATGATCTACATGAATTTGTGAACATTGAAAACGTCAAGTTTAAACGGTACCTGTGGTTTTAGATATGATATATCATATTTTGTATTGTATGACAGTACTCAATAAATCAACACTTCAATGGTTTGAGGCCACTTTGAGGAGTATTGAGTTTGAATTACTTCTTAGTTAGTTACTGAGTAAGCTGAAGTCTAAAATCAATAAAAGCGGAAGTATGCTACACAGTTGAAATGAACCAGAATAGCAAGTTGATGCTCTATAAAATAAACTCATTTATAACCGAATAATTGTAAATATCGTTTTTTGAGTAGAAAAGCGGAGTAAACCATTTTATTCATTAGTATTCGTAACCTTATTTATGTGTGGTGTGCAATATTGTTCAGATGCGAAAAGTGAAGAGGGTGGTTTTTGTAGTAGGTTACTGTCTAAGCATTTGGCCTAACAGTGTAATTCATACGCTATCCGTCTCCTCAGGATCCTGGAGTCCATGAATATTGTCATTTTGGAATGCGGATTTCTCGAATTCCCTAGAAGAACTTGGTTTAAACATCATATGACTTGTATAACTTAAACATGACATACTGACTAGGAAAAGTCCATTTTCATCACGTTATGTCTACCTGTTTGTATATACCTGTTTATTTTTTCAATGACGTTCGTAAAATAGAATCAGTCCGGACGTCCAAACCGAAGCGGGTGGTTTTCTTAGGGGCCACACCCGGAGCGTTTGACCTAATGGTCTGACCCACAAGGCCGTGGAGCAACATCAGGAGGAGCAGTTCTATGGTATCCCGTGACCAACAGTTGGTTCATACTCTATTTGTTCCTTCAGGATATTGTGGCCCATGTGCACGATTGGTTTGGGATCAGGGTTTCCCAACTAACTCCCCTAGATGGGCTCTCTGTGTCCGCCAACCCGGTTAAAGCGCCGAACATTTGCTTTTCGTCCTCTCAATTTCGTAAACAACAGGTCGGCCGCGAAAATTCAGTGAGTAAGACTTCCGTTGCAGTAGTTGTATGCACGTGACCATGTGAGAGCATTTGGAGAAAGTAAAAACTGATTCTCCCCACACTCGGCCGTACCAAGGCATTTACGAGCCTACCAGGGCATTTGGAGGGGGGTTCTTAGTAGTCAGAGTTGTTCCACTTATTCATTCCCATGACTTTTATATGTAAAGTCGGATGTTATCATATGTATAGCTTGAAACTACTCATATTAGAATTACTACTTGTTATAACTGAAAAATGATGCTGCTGATTAAGGGTAGCGAATTATTGATCGGACCAAAGACGCGCGAACACGTAGAACGACCTAGGGTTCTGATTGGCCCCGCTTCCCTATCTAACCCAGCCAATTGAGTCCAGAACACAAGTTTCAGCCTCGGATATATGAATCATTATATTTCAAACATACTTTGTTTATATACCAGTCAAGCAGACCACATCGTACGATAAAATAGAAAATAACATTGTACAATATTAACCAGTAGGAAAATGACACGTAAAATAAGTACTGACCAATAAGTAAATAATACCATCTCCAAGTCCAAGAATAGCATTAGACTTAATAGAATAATTTCTGGGATATTTTCCTGAATATCCCAACACTACTACGTTCACAAATTATTTGGTACATAAACTCAAGTATGTATTCTTTGTTTTGTTAATTACACTTTACACAATACAATTCATTTGATTACTTGTTCACTATTCCATCTCCGTTTTCTCTATTTTTTTTTAATTATAGGATGAACCATATTCAGAAATTATTAAAGCTTATTTATGCTTTTTAATTGTGAATAAAGAGACCGATTTAGTTGCCTATTATGTTTCTGTATTACCCACTGAATCATTACAAATTCAATGGTATTCATGGTTTTTAACAGGTACTCAACTAAAACATATTAGAATAATTTTACCTATTATCTCATTGTTGATATGTTCAAATATGTTTGGGTGTTCAGACTCAAAATAACCTTGTGGTTAGATGATAGCATGGTGTTTAAAGTGATAAGCAATGGATTTGTATCTCAATGCAATAATTAATTCTAGGATACAAGTACATTTAAGTGACAAGTCTTGAATAGACGAAGATGTATTTCCTGGACGTTTTCCCTTGTTACAGTCGAAATTTATTGAAAACTTATGATTCAATGACAATATTAAGGCAATTCTATGTTGATGTACATAATTTAATTGAGATGATCAATTGTAGTATTGTATAAATACAAATCCTTCCTATGATCTTTCGTCGCACTTTCATCAACAGTCCCCTGCATAGAATTAAATTTAGAACGATTATATTTTAGACCACTAGGTTGAAATTCTATAGTTCAATTTGTAAAACTGAACGATTTGATATCATCTATAAGTCACTGTTTCATTTTAGACTTCATAAACTTCAATGATCTTTGATACTATAAATCACTGGGTTGTTGAGAAATTCATCTCTCTGATTTTAAAACATGTCTTTCAAAAACATTTCAGTCAGTCAGTCAGTAACAACGTAGAACTTTGTACGTACTTACATCAGTTCAAGTTGCCATACCACATTAGCACAGAGATACAATTGTCGATTCAAATCACGTAGTGGTAGAGGTAGTAAAAGTATAAGCAGTAATTAGAAAGATTAGTGTTTGAAGATGTTATTCAAGGAGTATAATCCAGTGAAACAAATTTGGAAAGAGAAAAAGAAAAGGGATATAAATAATACAGAAGATTAGAATTCAGGAGAACACAATGAGTGGATGCACCTGCGCCTTTGTAAACGATTTCGAGCCATGTCATTCAGGGTCTCTAACTATCGGTTGCTATCGTCTCGCTGATCTCAACCAGGTAGTCTACATCTACCAACATGGCTCAGTCCACTTGTCAGTGACTTCATGGACTTGTGCCATATTCAAAAACATTTATTATTATTAAACAGACAGTCTATAGCTGCGAAAATAGTTCAAACCGACTGTTGCTGTCCTCATGATTTAATGTCACATCTTGGTTTGACTAACCTTGACTTTCTTTTAACCAAGTTCTACTTTACCCAATATTAACTGTCAAGATAGACGATGGTGAATAAAATACATATATATCTCAATCATTTCAACTGATAAAGATTCTAAACCTTATCGATGTCGTTCATTTAGATAATTTCATCATTCATTTTAAGTCTTTAACAATTTTCATCTGATGAAAATCAATTCCCTACTTTTACCATTCACATTTCATTTATAGAAATCAATCATCCAACTGAACGTGAACATTGTTTATCATTAGCTGTTGATTATGGTTTTAATTTATCTAAATTAACAAGATCCATAGTAAGATTATCAAAACAACGAATTGATTTATCATCAATCAATCAGTATCCTTCTAATACAATGGATCATAATTCAATATTATCCAAACAAAATAACTATATAAAACCATCATTCAATGAAATGGAATATTTCACCAAATTATTACATACTACTACTACTAATAATAATAACAGTAATAATAAACATGAAATTGGTAAATTAACTGATATAGATAAACAACGTATTATTGCAATGGATTGGTTATTTTATAATCCAGATCAACGTGGTGAAGCTTTATGCTTAGCCAATAGTTTATTAAGAGTTTTTATTGCAATGCATTCATTTAAAGCGGCGCAACAGGTATGTGGTTATGGTTATAATCCTTTTTTTTTAAAAAAGGATAGTTGATATTTTGTTTAAAAGAATGTTATCAAAAGGGGTTTTGTGCAGATTTTAGTAATTTCAGTAGTTGAGATCATGAGTCAATTGAAGATAGACTATTATGGAAAACTTTGGAAGCATTGGACGGTCGTTTCATCCTATTGTGGAACTCCTCAGCAGTGCTCATCTACGATTCCACCCTGCGAGATTCGAATCCAGAACCTATTGGTCTCGCGCGCGAACGCTTAACCTCTAGACCAATGAGCTGGTATCTAACGGTGTTAATGTCTAACTTCAACTAATTCACAAAATTGAGCCACCATCCACTATTGTCTTCAGTGAGTTACTATCTCATAATAGACCCGGTTGAACTCGGGATGCGATTCTTCCCCTCGAAATGCAAAATGTTGCTTCAGGATTGGGTTGCATCGACACCCGAACTAATGATAGGGAGTGAAGTAATTGAGCGTGTCGACCGCTTCTCATCAGCCCTTGTGGTCTGGTGTGTGACGAAATTTCAGCACGGGTACAGAAGGCTTGACTAGCTCTTGCCAACTTGCGTCATTTATGGAGTGGGCACGATACATTACTTTTATGGGTGGTGGCTAGCAGTGAAATGTAGGACGCCCGTTTCGTCCTACCTGGCGCTCATCAGCTTGATATATCTGTATCCCAGAGTTGATATTCACTCCGAGTCTCGAACATCAAAGGAAAGATTCAAACAAACATTACAACAATCAAATGATACATTACTTTCGGAGTATATTATTGTAGTATTGGCTGTATTTATTTATTCTCATATATATCTCTTGAAAATCATTTACCGTATTGTATCTATATAGAGAGTACATTTTTGTTTTTGCCTAGAGTTAAAACAGAGAGGATATACTCATTAATTTTGTTTTTTTTTCTTTACTTATCTTAAGGTTCTATCAAAATTACCAGTTGGTACATTAGAACATGCTAAAATAATTTGTGAGAAATTGGGTTCACCGGATTGGCTTGTGAATACAATACGTGAACATGAATGTCTTACTTTATATTTAGAAAGTCGGGTTAGTTTTATGGAAATATTATTTACATTTTTACGCTCTACTTATCTTTTAATCCATTTAATATACATACATTTTAATAAGTGTGACAAAGAGTGGGGGGGGGTAAACAAAAGTAGTTGGATGTACAGTTCAAATAACAATACAACAGAGAGAGGACTCTTTAAGTTAAGAGAATTCCTTTCATTTCTGTGGAGAATTTTAAAGGAAACTACATCAGAATCCCCATTGGTTTCTATTCTGAGCCATGTCTGATATCGTCTCAAACCACTGAGTTTCACAATCTATAGGACGGTAATCAGATCAGTCATGAGTGACAGACAGATGACAGTCCTATATAGTTTTCTTCTATGGTGTCATGTCATAAACTGATAGCCTTTCAGCATCCGGTAAATGCTGTTTTTTGTGTTGAAATTTCTGGGATGATAATCCTTACTCATATCCAGACCATCTAAACTGAATGATCCACCTAACGAGGTGGAAGACCGCAAGGAACGTCAACTCTTGAAGCGCCATAAGTCACCAGGGCCAGGTGGTTTACTTTTGGTCTGTTTTAAAGATGGTTGTGACCTTCTGGTTAAGGAACTGATCGAGTTGTCTACAAACGTTTGACAATCAGAGAGTGTACCAACATCATGAAATGAGTCGATAGTTGTCTATATCTTTAAAACGATTCACATCACCTGTGGAATAACTATCTGCTACCAATTTCATCCGAATTATTGGCTTCCGTCTTACTCTGCAAATTGTTCAATACCCGCGAAAGATTGAGTCTCGAGGGACAGGTTGAATTTCGTTCTGGTCAAGGATGTGTTGATCATATCTCCGCCCCCCGCCAATTGTTAGAACACTGTCATACTTATTTTAGGCCAACAGTCGTAGTGTTTCTTGACATCAGAGCCGCCTTCGATTTGTTCAACTAGAATGTTCCTTGGGATTGTCTGTTGAAGAAGGGTGTACTTGAGAAGTTTGTCAATATCTTAAAAGTCCTACATATAGACACCTCCGACAGAGTGAGGGAATACTACCACCTCTCTCAATCGTTCCATTCAGACAGTGAGATTAGTCGGCGTTTTCTAATCTCGCCATACCTCCCCAACTTCACTATCGATGGCGTTCTGGAAACAGCTCCGACGGATGTAGGTAATGGTGGTGTGGATCTGTTGTTTGGAGAAAGATTTTTCAACCTTGAGTATGCAGAAGATATCGTCATACTGTGCGATAATATCCAAGTCATGTAATCTGCACTTGGTCAGTTGGCAATTAGCGTCCAGGCCGTCTTTGGCACCTTCGTGATATTAGTCTGGATGTAGATGGTCAGATCTGTAATACGTAGATGAAAACAGTTTTGCTCTACACTTGTGAGATCTGGCCCATCCAAGTTAAGAATGTTGGACGACTCACTGTGTTTGATTATCGTTGTTTCCGGTTGGTTGCTGGCGTCCAGTGGCAACATCATGTTAGTAATGCAGAGGTTTGGCATCATGTATTCGGGCAGAACGACAATAATCCAATTAATGTCACTATATTGAGACATCGACTTCGGTGGCATGGACATGTCCAATGTGGCGCATATACATTTAAGGTATCTTCTTGTATCAATGTTTATGTGTTCAAATAATAAATAATAACTACATGATTTCCGAATACAATTTATTTGTTCATTTGTTATTCACCTGTTTACTACTTTGTTTACTAATTAAGGATGCATTTGCTGACTGGTATCAACAAGTACATACTAATCGACCTGTACAACCGTCTTCGTTAACAAATAATAATAATTTTTTGCATACAACATATGGTCCTCGCGGCTTAGCACAACGTCTTGCTATTGAAGAATCAAAAAAAGAGTATTTAGCTCGTCTTGAACGCTGGCGACATGATACACGATTAGATACAGAGGTTGGTTATGAATTGATTGTCTGTTTTTATTTGTATTTATGTTTGTAAAGTATCGTTATGATTTTGTCTGTCCATGGGTAATTGGGTAGATTCATCTAAAGTATGATTAAGTTACTTATAAAAAAATGTTTATTTCTTCACATTTCTATATTATTTATTGTACGAAACATGAATATAAATGATCGAGTGAAAATCAAGCTAAAATAGTGTAAGGGGCTGGTTACTATGTCAAGCCTACATAGGTTATTCTAACCTTTGGACAAACCGATCTATCTATTCTTCTCAAGCCATATTTTTACTTTGTCACTTATTCTTTTATTAACCCTGACTGCTTTTTATATGGTCGTATGTGTGCTAATTATTTACCCTATCCATCGATTGTCTGTAACTTGTTTTTGTTGGCTCACTCGCCTTCTCCATTGCCTGTCATTATGTTTTGCTTCGCTTTCCGATCAACAATTGTACGAGATATATGTATTCAAAAATCCATTCTCCTATTTGAATTATTCCGTGATTCAATAACGCAAGTCGATGATTATATACAAGGATTGGCGACATGTATATTTCGATAACAAGCAGCAAACGATCTACATGGAGTCAGATCTCGTGCCACTAAAATAGTGCATTGAATGTAGTCATCAGTTGATTGTAATATTGCTTTGGTTAATAATAACAGTTATTACATTCAATAATTTCCTTCTCAATAATGAAATAAGTTTAGATAAAGATAAGATTTGAAAAACGTCCCGTTATGTAAGCATGGACTCTAACAGAAATTTATACAGTTAAATAAATAAACATGCGTTAGTAGTGGATGTCATAGTAATTTCAATGGTTGAGATCATAAGCCATTTGAAGCCAGATCACCATGGAAAACCTGCGCACTGCTGAGGAGTCCCATAATAGGACGAAACGGCCGTTCAGTGCTTCCAAGTTTTCCATGGTGGTCTAGCTTCAATTGACTCATGATCTCAACCATTGAAATTGATAATTATTAGTTGTGAATTTGCTGTTATCCGTTTTTGAGACTGTGAGGCATTACCTATTATTATGACGACCTAATCGAGATATATTAGTTGAGGAAAGTGTTTCAAAAAATCTTTTATCACATAGGTTAGTTGAAGAGTAGTAATATAGTGAAAAATGTCCTAGTGCAAAATTATACTTTTAGCTTCACTCTAATGTAAAACGGTATTAAGCTGTTTTCATCCCTGGACATGCTTCTTAAAAAGTAGCCTTGTTTCACCAACTTCCGATATTAACAATAAGCTTCAAAATATTAACCGTCTAGTAGATTAAATTTTTCAGTAAGGAATATTCTTTTATGAATAAATATAATTCAAGGAACTGTTAATCTCCCACACACCTACAATCTCCCAACTTAATGTTAAGCATTATTTTAGTTTAGTTCGCAACTCATTTGGTTACATTTTATTATCTAACCGGTCTGCGCTCACCCCCGATCAATACAGAGGAGAATCTTCTTTTGACGAAGGGAAGGAAATATACCCGAGGAGCTTGAACATGACATATGTGTTATTTACTACAAGTCTAGACATATCACATACTGTTGCATGATAACACAATCAGTGAGGAATGAAAATATTGACAAGTCTATTATGAGTGAAACTTAAAGGTGCATATTCGTGTGGCTCGTACGATAATCAAAATCATTGATGTTATTTAAGATTCACTGAATTTACTTATTTCTGGTAAGTTTTATTCTTCATGGATTAATCTTGTGGTGTATGCTACTTATATTGACAGATATAAGTAGTAGGTAGCACCAATCTGAAGTAGAAGGCCTTGCAACAGATTAGAATGAATTGAACAGGAATGAATTTGGAGAGCAATCAAAATAACATCAGAATCAGAGTAATAATGGATTGTGTAAAGGACAACGCGAAGGAGATATCCAAATGATGTATTTAATGTATGACTTTCATATTTTACCAAGCCGCTGTAATTATGCATTAAATAATAAGTTGGTTTTCCCTGCTCAGGTTTTCATTCACTACAGTCTTAGTTAGGGCACCATTTAAATTGTGCGATTGAATGCGAACCGAATGGTTCTAATTGTTAAGCGTTGTTGCAGAAAACCTGAAGTGGATTCACATCTTTAAGTGTAGTGAACAGAACACGGGTGGAACAATCGAATTATATATTTAGCACAAAATGACAGAGTTACTTGGTAAAATAGAAAAACCATACTATAATACTTAATTTGCAAAATGTTCAATAATTGTCTTGGACTTCATTGTTTTTGCATTTCCATACTAATTGCTTTCTATTCCCGCTCTTCCTTTCTTGATCTTCCCTATCTTCTGCCACCAGACATTACATTCCTGACTCGCATTATATACTACTTATATCAATATAAGTAGCTAGCACCACATAAGGAGTTCCGTAATGAAACGAAATAGCTATCCGATTCCTAGGTTTTAATAGTACCTCAGCTTTGATCAGTCTATGGTGAATATATATAACCTACAAAACCCGTTCAACTGAATTATTTCTTTATTCTTTTTAGTTTTAAATAAAATTTTATTTATTTCATTTCATATTTTAAAACAATGAACACAAATGATATAGGCAGCAGCTGAAAAACTTTTGGCCTTATTAACATATCCTCATCCTGGTTGGTTAGTTGATATAGAACAGCGACAACAACAACAACAACAACAGCAATTGAATATGGATCCAAATGATCGATTAACATTGACAACAGAAATTCATCATGATAAATTAATTGATCGTAAATTCGAAGGTGATAAAGGAGGAGAAATATATGAAAACAATTGTGAAACATTAACTATGAATAAAAATGATTTATTTGATGAACTTGATGAAAATCCTGCATCACGTCAATTACAAATGAATGTACTACGAGAGACATGTATTACAGAGACAGTGTTTCTTATTGTTCGTTTATATCAAACTGCTGGATTACATCAAAATGTATTGAATTATCTAATTTAATTGTAGATAATGAATATGGTTTATTCAAGGTAGGTAGGATTTCTTTTGAAGTGAAGTAAAATATTCAAGCGTTTTTTTTTCCTTTTTTAAGGTTGTGATTAGTTATAAATGATGAACGACAAACTAGAATTTCAATTGTCTTCCTTAATTACTTACGATTGTTACCTCTTGTGGAGGAGTATAAGTCGCTCATCAGGATTATCCGTCGAACTCTATCCTGGACAATCCTTTCCAGTTTTTTCCAGTCTCTATTCATTGATTGATGACTGCTTCGAATTCCCGACGTAATATGTTCCTTGATCTTCCTCTTTTTCTTTTACGTCCAGGATTCCAAGTTAGAGTTTACCTCTGCTGTAAGTTATAGGGTTACTGCCGGTCCCAAACCCGGGGTGAAGGAGGAGGATTAGGCATGGGGTCAGCAATCCTATCCCATAGAAAACAACCTTTCTATAAAAACACTAACAAATAGTGTTCCTGCTGCTATGAATTCGTGATGCGAACTAATTTTTTTTTTAAAAAAAGAGTCAATTTACTGGACATCAATATCTTTTTGTTTGAAACTACTTCATTTTTATTAAACATCGGTGAAATAACTGAGGGAAGTGGTCAAATTGATAATGCTACTCACTGGATGGATTCATTTATTTGAGCTTCATAGATTTTTGAACATTTTTTTCTTCTTCAACAACTAGTGGAGTATATAAATCTGTCTATCATTTGTTAACAATAAACTACATGACACAAATATGTTTTGGTCGAAGTTACCACATCATCATATCAGTAAAACTATAGAAAATTAATAAGGTAATTGTTTTGTCGGGTGGTGTCCGAAATCTTATACTGATACATGATATGCTACGCGCCAATCCCTACCTCCAACTGACTACTTGGGCGAGAACACAAAAGTAGGCGAGTAAGTAAATCTGGCTTAAGAAATTAGTTCATTTCTTAGCCAATGTAATACACTTGTCCTTCAGGTTATTTCAGATGGTCATCAAGTGACCCTCTTATTTGATTTCTTTTTATTAACTTACTATATCAGTGATATAAATTACAGTGTGGTACTCTAAACTTCGAAGATACAGTACAAAATCAAATGAATGAGATTCATGGATGAATAGTTAAAAAATGTTACTTAATTCAGCCCCCCTCAATGCCCTGGTATGGTCGAGAGTGGGGTGGATCCGCCCTCATTCTTGAAATGCTCTCACATGGCCACGCGTACACAGCCTCTGCCAGGGAAGTCCTAGTCACTGCCTTCTCGTGGCGGGGGTGTCGTTGACGAAAATGAGAGGACGAAAAGCGAATGTCTGGCGCTTTAACCGGATCCTAAACCAATGGTGCACATGGGCTCCAGTATCCTGTGGGAGCAAATGGCTTATGAACCAGTTCTTGGTCACCGGCTACCATGGGACTGCGTCTCCTCACGGTGCTCCACTGCCTTGTGGGTTAGACCTTTAGGTCGAAGACTCCGGGTGTGGCCCCCTAAGTAAACCACCCGCTTCGGTTTGGACACCTGAGCAGTATCACAGCCCTCACATATATCAAATGAGATTTGTGTGGCGGATATATATTTGGTGCCCTCTTGTACCAATATTTATGTGTTCAAATAAATAAATAAATATTTAATTCAAGATCTTTCAGGAAGACAGGAATATGGCCTTATAAAAAACTCAGATAAAATACCTACTTCTACTCATTGTGTAATAGGATATATTTTTTTGTATTAGGGCATATTATTTCATTTATGATTTTTTTATTCAAGATACTTTTATTCTATTCTGTTTTATTCTTTCTCTCCGTCTTTCTTTATATATCTAGTTGTTCTCTGGACCTCAGCTTCAAAATCTTCTTCATCATATTTCTGAATCAATTCAATATTTAATTGACAATGAACAAGATCCATTGGGTTATATTATACATTAGTCATATGAATATGACTTACATATGTTGTATATGCCTCTCTGTCTAATGTCTAATCTATCCATGAAACAAAGTCGCTGAACAAAAATTGTTTCTTTCTTGTCTATACAAATTGATAGAAATATTTTTGTATCCCTATTTTATGGTTTTCTATGTATAAAAGTCGTATAGAGATTTTTCTTTGTATGTGTAAATTGTTAATTCTTATTGAAGAAATAAATAATTTGTTTACTATATGGATCTACTCTTTTCACTTTCATCCTCCCTCCCCCTCACTTATCATACTGAAATATTTTCCATTATGTTTTCTATGTTTCAGTGTAGTTTAACCGAGGTAACCAATGCTGGTTGGTAAGTTTTTTTCATAACTATTAGGTTATGAAATTATTCTGATATTTTTATATAACAATTTGTTGGTGAATACTAAATAGATATTACTTACTTACTTACTTACGCCTGTTACTCCTCGTGAAGGAGCATAGGCCGCTCACCAGCATTCTCCATACAACCCTGTCCTGGGCAATCCTTTCCAGCTCATATCTGCTTCTATTATCCGACGTAATGTGTTCTTTGGCCTTCCTCTTTTCCACTTTCCTTCAGGATTCCAAGTTAGGGCTTGTCTCGTGATGCAGTTTGATGATTTGCGTAATGTATCTCCTATCCATTTCCATCGTCTTTTCCTAATTTCTTCTTCAGCTGGAAGTTGCTTTGTTCTCTACCACAGAAGGCTATTGCTGATGGTATCCGGCCAATGGATGTTGAGTATCTTGCGTAGACAGCTATTTATAAATACTTGTACTTTCCTGATTGTGGTTGTTTTAGTTCTCCAAGTTTCAGCTCCGTACAGTAGAACTGTCTTGACGTTCGTATTGAAGATTCTCACTTTGATATTGGTTGAAAGTTGTTTTGAGTTCCATATGTTCTTCAATTGTAGGAATGCGACCCTTGCTTTGCCGATCCTCACCTTTACGTCTGCATCTGAACCTCCTTGTTGATCGATGATGCTTCCTAGGTATGTGAAGGACTCTACATCTTCCAGAGTTTCGCCATCAAGAGTGATTGGATTGCTGTTCTCCGCTTTGAATTTGAGGACCTTGCTTTTCCCCTTGTGTATGTTGAGGCCTACTGATGCAGATACTGCTGCTACACTGGCTGTCTCTATCTGCATTTGTTCATGTGTACGTAGGAGGGCTAGATCATCTGCGAAGTCCAAATCGTCTAATTGATTCTGAGTTGTCCATTGTATTCCGTGTTTTCCTTCAGATGTCGAGGTCTTCATAATCCTTGCACTGTAGTCCGTCGTATGAGTTCCGGATAATATATATATATATATATATATATATATATATATATATATATATTATATATATATATATAAAGAATTAAAGGTTATAAGCAATTATAAACAATTACTAAGCCATATTATCCAATGTCTCCGGTAATTGGTTAAATTTATCTCCCAGATCTCAGCTAGTTAATCTTTGATTCCAAGTACGTTTCAGACAAACAGTTAATTAATTTAGTTCCTGCGTAATCCTCACATTAACATCAATCCTTTATCAAATGTCATAGATCCAATTCAAAGCATTACCAATGAGACTGTTCCATTAGATTGTTACAATAAGACGATCACGTTTTATAATCGTAACGCAAATATTATTACTATACTATATTATAACATGCGTAAAACTGATCCAATCACTGAATAATATATGTTCATCTACAATCTATGTGTCGAGTCATCTAGACTGATGGTCACATTGCAACATGGTTGATAGCAATCGATCTGCACTAAATAAAGACTTGACACGCATGACAATGATCACCACCCAATGATCAATCAATTGTGATTTCAATCTATCATGAATAATAGAAATTTTTGTATTGTTTTATTCCTTGTCCACAGGAGTTTGTCACAAAAGACGTTGACAGAATATTTAAAGAAAACAGAGCATGAAACTTATGATGAGTTGATTACTCTTTTGTTAAATGTAAGTTTTAAAAACAACTTTATTTAACAGAAAATACGTTTTAATCAATAGTTCACCAATATATACTTAATTATGCTAGTTACCACCCCCCGCCGTCATGGAGCATAGGTCACCGACCAAGTAAATGCAAACGTAGTGATATTTAGTACTTACCTTAGTCATATTCCATTCCCGTATTAAATTGTTGACAATTCCACCGAGTACCACAATATGCTTTTTAGATAATAATAAAAACCCCATCACTAATGGGATTGAACCAATTAGACGAAATTTTGTTCCAGGTGAAATATCCATACTGAAAGTTGATTAATTAATAATAATAATATAATATAAAATAATAATAATAATAATAATAATAGTAGAACAAAATAATAATAGTACTAAGTGGTGTACCAAGAGTTCAACAGTGTGATAACAACAAAAGTAAACCAACAACATTAGGGTACTTCCTTTCTACAACAAAAAACAACTTGAAATAGATCAATCAATCAACTGATCAAGACGAATTCAAGCGATCTCCATCGAATGCTTTCTACAATCAACTAACCAAGAACATATTTGGAAGATTTACCATGAAAGAAATTCGACTCAGAATATACACATATATCATATCACAAATCATCATGATATTTGTCTGTATATTTAAATCAATATACCAAGGGATAGCGATACGTAATCCGCTTGAAGCTACGATTTTGGGTAGGTAAATACTATAATAATATTATGACGGTGAGACACAATTCTAGCCTGTAACCTTCGATCTGACAACGTTCAGTAGATAACAACAATATTGGACATTTTACTGAAAATAGTCATTAAAACTCATTTTACGGTAGTTTACAAAAACCAGTTACTTGATATCAAAATACAGAGTTATTCAACAGCTTAGCAAAAAACTTGTTATGAATCGTTTAATAAACAAGAATACGTTTAACACAACACACACACACAATTCATCCAGTTCTTATCATTTCCAACCATGTTTTCCTGTCAAAACAACTAAACACCCGACACTACATTCATTTAGAATGCTGTAGAAGATGCATTTTTTAAAATTTGTTTCCACACTTTTAATAAGCTATTTATTTGATGACAACTCAGACGACACGTTGAATATATATCTTTGCGTAGTAGATGGATGGTAGTCTGGTCACCAAGTCTCAGTGGTAACGGCCTAGTACTGTGAAGTTGTGTGAAGCTGGTCCGAAATTCACAGGGAGTATTAATTACCACAAGATTATATGTACGCCTCCGATCTGGTTAGCTTCTGACGTAATTGTTTGGTTTTGGGTTGTCCTTTTGTTTGTTAATGATTGTGTGTAAAAAGGCAAGTGGTTTTTTATCGATCTATACTACTCACTGTTCCCGTATTCCTTATTGCTTTTTGTTTGTTTTTTATGTAATGATCCTTTAATTCTTGGTCAAACCTAAAGTCGGATATTCGTGAATATGGTTCACCATGGCTAGGAGATTTGAAAAAGGCTAGTCATGTAAGAGAAGTTGTAGTTGTTTATTATCGTTGTTATTTCGTAGTCGAATTTTCTTAAAGAATGATTGTTTCACTCAATAATTTCTGTTTGATAAGAATGAGATATTTTCAGGACCAAATGTATATGTAAGTTTTTTTTAAAGACAGATTTGATGGAATGTGGCTACCAGTGGAATCCAGGACGCACGTTTCGTTCTGTTTTTCACTCGTCAGCTTGATGTACCTGGATGTTCATTCCGGGTCTTGGACAGAGTACCGTTTTCTTCAGACGCCGTCATGTTATTCACTTAGTTGCTGAGTCCAGATATCCACTCACTTGTGCAATTTGAAATGGCGTAGATTTTCCCGTTCATATTTTTACCGATATTCAATCATTCCTGGTTAGTAAATGGGCATCCTGTGTGGATTGCGTCGATGCAGTCATTATGACGTAAGTTGACAATATATGTCTAAACTGTAAACCAAGGTTGATGTGGGTTCGAAATACATAGAAAGCATCAGTTCTTTAAAAATTTAAAAGACGCTTTGCTAGCGAGTGACAACTGGCACGAAACCGGTCTCTAGTATCTCTGGCCGCTTACCTCTAATTACATAACACTAAAGCATAACGCTCATGATGTTCCACCATTTAGACTAAGGTATAGAAAAATCACCACATTTATTTATTCGTTTACTTTTCTTTTGTTTTAAATGTACGGAGTATTCTATTGAATGAAAATTAATACTTATTTGACACATTCGTGTTTATGTACACTTATGTTTGAACTACTCCTCAGAGGTGATGGCTAGTAATTATTACATAGTTGCCTGAATTTAATTACCTGCAGCAAAGTTTGAATGTACCATTTATTAATTGATAGCGAACTATATTAATAGTGATATAATGAGATGAGTAGTGTTGAAGTTGAACTTTTAAGGCTATCATACGAAGGATTATTGTTTATATTTTTTCTGTATTAATAGTAGACGTTTGTATCGTTGTCTTGTATATTCTATTTCTAAGCTTTCGTTTGTTTCATAAATCGTTGTCATACTGTAGTGAATGAGAACACAAATGGGGACAATAGAATGTATTTGAACACAAAAATTATAGAACATCTGAGTACCATATAGTGAATACTTCATTTGCAAAATGTCAATCAATTGTTTCAAACTTGACTGTTCCTTTTGCAAATATCAGTCAATCGTCTCGGACTTCATTGTTCCTTTATTTCTACAGCAATTATTCACTGTTGTCGTTCTCTTTTCTTAACATCCTACTGCCAGGTATTTCACTTTCGATTGATGATCTTTCCGCTTACTGTTTATACGAGATTTGAATCGACAACTGCATCTCTGTGCTAATGTGGTATGGCAACTCGAACTGATGTATGTACGTACGAAATTCTACCTTGTTACTGACTGACTGACTGACTGACTACTTATATCTGTCAACATATGTAGCACATACAACAATACGTCTTATCATTCCTGTTTTATCTCTAAATAATGGTTTTCCTATTACTCTGGTTTTGCGTCACTCATGATTAAGTTATGTACACATTTTAATTCCTTAATTGTATTGCTGTGTGGTCAGATATTTGAAGTTTATTTATAGTGTGAAATTCCAATATTGACTGAATTGAGCACAATTATGAACTGATCTGTTTTTAACTTCCGTCTTCTGATTTAAAAGATCTCAAGAGCCGATCAATGTTAAGGTTGTAATTGTCGTTTGTTTATCGAGGCGTCAACCGTATGTAGAAGGTAACCAGTGTTACAGTATAGGTTAAGTAATTGATAAATGAACTAAAGAGGTCATACAACTGCTTTCTTGTCAGTCAGTCAGCTACAATGTAGGACCAGGCATATATGTGCATCGGTTCAGGTTGCCATACCTCATCAGCACAACAAGATGAAAACCGGATTCATAAAAGTAGTTAATTCAGTGGTGGTAATATATAAAAGAAACATTGCACATAAGAACATAGTACAGGAAGAAAGAATTAGTTGACAGCAAAAAGTCATGAAACGATTTTAGTGTCACAGTTTAAGGGAAGACAAGGAGTGTATACACCACCTACGCCATTGTGACCGATTCTGAGCCATGTCACCCAGATTCTACAACCATTTTAACCATGCGGACTCCAACCGAGTAATCTGCATTCACCAACATGGTTAAGACCACAAGTTAATGTCTTCAAGCACTGATACCATCTGCGTATTCTAAGTCGATAGGTGGATCTCCTGGTAAGAGATCGATTCCTTATAATCCAGTGGACGAGAACGTTATTTTTAGTAGTAGATTTGTGATGAAGTTGGACAAAAATGGGCCTTGACGGACACCACTTGAGGTTGCAAAATCAGATGACAGTTTCGCCATAAGCTCTGACTCGACTAGTAGTGTTCGAGTAAAGAACCTTCACAAGGTTTATGTACTTCTGAGCTACGCCTTTCAATGGCAGACATTGCCACAGAATCTCGCGGTAAACGGAGTCAAATGTTGCATTTAAGTCAAGAAAGACCACCATTGTCGACAGCGATAAGTATGCCTATGTTCTAAAATCTGATGAATGGTGAATATGTGGTCGGTTCAGCCACGACCAGGTCTGAAGCCAGCCTGCTTTCTGGTCATTATGACCCATTCACATAGAATCCAATACAACACACTCAAGCGAAAAATCTGTTTTCTTTCCAACACAATATTTCTGGTTTAACCTCCGTTTCACAATAATAACAGCGAGAACAATTTTGGTGGAGTTATCATCAACATCAGGATAGAAAGGGAACATACATCCGTGTAAACATTTTTCACCTCATTTTTAATTATTTACATCTATTTCCGACATGTCAGGAGTAAAATGTTTGTCATTAATAACATTGAATGATCGTCACTGTATATCGCAAATTGTTTGAAGTCAGAATTTTACTACTGGATGACCAACTTAGTGATCCTGATGCTTAAGCGTTCGTCAGGAGGTCTGAGGACACTGGGTTCGGTTTCTGGTGGAATCATGATTGCATGCACCGTTAAGGAGTCATGTGATAGGAATAAACAGTTGTCTGGTGCCCCCTGATTTTCACTAACACCCTAACTAAGATCAATCTGTAATGAATACAACTGAAATATCTCTCTAATAGTCGTTTTTCTAAATATTTTTCTATTTTCCATTCTTTTATATTGAGACAGCTTGAAGCGAATGGTCGAATTGTTCAGCTTACTGGATTACGTAATATTAGTATACCACAGGCTACAGAAGATCTCATGTTAAATAATTCATCTGATCACCGTGGACCATGTTTATTGCGATTTACTTTCACTGATGGTCGTAATCAAATATTGGGTTTAGATATGCAGAATAAATCAGATTTGAAGTAAGCACCCAACTGATATATACGCGCATATATTGTGTTATCTTTACAATCTGTACTGGTTGTATATTTTTCGTGATAGTCTGGATTCTTCAACAAGACGTACTTATAATCTTGTGGAAATTAATACTCCCTGTGAATTTCGGACCAGCTTCACACAACTTCACAGTACTAGGCCGTTACCACTGAGACTTGGTGACCAGACTACCATCCATCTACTACGCAAAGATATATATTCAACGTGTCGTCTGAGTTGTCATCAAATAAATAGCTTATTAAAAGTGTGGGAACAAATTTTAAAAAATGCATCTTCTACAGCATTCTAAATGAATGAAGTGTCGGGTGTTTAGTTGTTTTGACAGGAAAACATGGTTGGAAATGATAAGAACTGGATGAATTGTGTGTGTGTGTTGTGTTAAACGTCTTCTTGTTTATCAAACGATTCATAACAAGTTTTTTGCTAAGCTGTTGGATAACTCTGTATTTTGATAATCAATTCAACTGGTTTTTTGTAAACTATCATAACATGAGTTTTAATGACATATTTTCAGTAAAATGTCCAATATTGTTGTTATCTATTGAACGTTGTCAGATCGAAGGTTACAGGCTAGAATTGTGTCTCACCGTCATAATATTATTATAGTATTTACCTACGCAAAATCGTAGCTTCAAACTGATTACGTATCACTATCCCATGGTTATTGATTTAAATATACAGACAAATATCATGATGATTTGTGATATGATATATGTGTATATTCTGAGTCGAATTTCTTTCATGGTAAATCTTCCAAATATGTTCTTGGTTAGTTGATTGTAGAAAGCATTCGATGGAGATCGCTTGAATTCGTCTTGATCAGTTGATTGATTGATCTATTTCAAGTTGTTTTTTTGTTGTAGAAAGGAAGTACCCTAATGTTGTTGGTTTACTTTTGTTGTTATCACACTGTTGAACTCCTGGTACACCATTTAGTATTTTTTTATTTTGGTTCCTACTACTACTACTACTACTACTACTTTAAGTAATTATGAGTAGTAGTTCTTAATCGCATTTAATAACATCCAATGTTTTTTTTTCTTAAGAAAAATTATCATTCATTAATTAATGTTTCAATTTCAGTATGGATATTTCACCTGGAACAAAATTTCGTCTAATTGGTTCAATTCCATTAGTGATGGGGTTTTTATTATTATCTAAAAAGCATATTGTGGTACTCGGTGGAATTGTCAACAATTTAATACGGGAATGGAATATGACTAAAGTAAGTACTAAATATCACTAAGTTTGCATTTGCTTGTTTGCTTTTCATTTGATTTCTGTTTGTATGAAGAGCTTTTAACAGTTAACTGTCGGAGCAGTGATTATCGTGTGTATTGTCTTCACATGTTTTGTAGTCTAATGGTGATTGTTTTTGATGAATTCCAGTATTTTGATAGATTGTTGTTTTCTGAGCTGATCTAATGCACATTGCTGGATTCACAATTACTAACACGTCATAGATGAGGAAAAGTGTGATCTACAAAATACTCACAACAGAACATTTTGAAACTTTTACAACAGTCATCGTAAAATAACAAACTATCCATCTCAGAGAAAAAAAAACGTTTTCGAAGTGATCCATAATGTCATAAATTCCAGTATATTTATGATTGAGTTGGATGTATGCTTAACATCCGTTACTACTAATTAGTTAATTTGGAATTGATGATTCAGTTTAATTTTAATCTGTGCTCAAATTCCTAATTTTATAAATTACTTTTATCCTTTTTAGTTTCTTAAAGGAACAGATAATCGTCTGATCGGTAGTGGTGCTCCGATGTTTGTACCGTTCGGTAGTCGTGAAGCTTCTTGCCTTATTCAGACAGAAGGTAAATTTCTTAATCAATTACGATCGGATCGAGAGCGTAATCAAAGTAAGTGTGTGTGTGTGAGAGAGAGAGAGGAAGTATACTAAATTAAGTTTTATTTGTTACTTATACTATGTGCACATAAATTCCAACGTTCTATCAATATAATGACGTTGCATCCCGTTGCATTTCTCAGTTCACATTTATGTGTGAATACACATTCTCTGAGGTTGTGAACAATCATTAAATGATCTACATAGTTAGTGATTTGATATATTATTTGAAGGAGGTGCTTTAAACTAACATAGAATCCTTAACTTAAGTAAGTTTTAAGAGTAAATTATTTCATATTCTTCCCTATATTTAAACAATTTACATGATTGATACTTTCTAATCATTACGGAATGTTAAGTCATGCAGTTTCTGGGGTACATCCGTCATATCTCCTTCAGAGAATACTCCTTATTGTTGGCAGTCTACTGTGTTTCAAAACATCACAAATATCGTTATAAAATCCCGTAGGTGTATGATTTTCTTAAAATATCAGTTCATTCACAATCATTGGTTACAGGAATCGGCCTGTTGGAAAGCACAAAATACCAAACGATTCATCGTTGTCATCAACACAAGACAACATTTATGATAATCCAGGTTTTGTAGCATTCTTACAATCTGTTCAGTCTTCACTAAACTACTGATCTACTATTAAAGTGGGTTACTTTCTTTAGTACGTTAGCTCCATGAACATCTGTCAATATTTTGTGAACTTCCGGAAGTTCCTACAGAAATGAGGGAAAATCCTCGGAGTTCTATTATGAAACTGTGCGAAAAGTTTACCCATGGAAGACAATAGAAGGTTGTTGCGCAATATCGTGGATTGACTGGAGTTATACATGTTGGATACTGGCTTAACCGCCTAAAGATTATGTTTTCATGCGTGAGACTAAAGGTCTTCAGTTTGATTGTTGATTGCGGGGTTGCGAACCCTCACTGGTGAGGAGCCCTAAGTTAAAATAAATTAGCCATCTATTGCTTCCATGTTCCGGTGGTTCTCTAACGTAGATAAGTTCATGACAGCAATAAAAACTGTAGTAATAGTTTAGTTCAGGTATTTATTTGACAGATCATTTTGCAACATGCATAACACATGTTTCTTAGTGTTTGTAATTTACAGCGACATTATTATTTTGCGTTTAAAAAGACAAGTTTCAATAATAATTCAAGTATACACGTTAATTATTTTCATATTATTTATTTATTTAAACACGTAAACATTGGTACAATGAAGCACCAAATAGATATGCGCCATATAAATCATTCGATTCGTGTGGGGGCTTGGATACTGTCTGAGTGTTCAGACCAAAGCAGGTGGTTTTCTTAGAGGGCCACACCCGGAGCGTTTGACTTAAAGGTCTAGTCCACAAGTTAGTAGAGCAACGTCAGGAGATGCAGTCCCATGATAGTCGGTGACCAACGACTAGTCCATATTCCATTTTTTCCGTCATGATCCTGGAGCCCATGTGCACAATTGGTTTGGAATCAGGGTTTTCCCAACTAACCCCCTGGTTGGACTCTCGTGTCCACCAGCCCGGTTAGAGCGCCGAACATTCACTTTTCGTTCTGTCATTTTCGTAAACAATAGATCAGCCGCGAGGATTCAATGAGTAAGACTTCCTGTCAGTAGCTGTATTCACGTGGCCATGTGAGAGCGTTTGGAATGGGAGAGCTGACTCTCCCCGCCTGGGCCATACCAGGGCATTTTGAGGCAATTATTTCATAACTTGCTTTTTATGTAAACATGAATATGTATATATATGTACACATTTATATTTCTAGTGAAATTTGATTCATTTCAAATGATTACAACTAATCGTAATGAAGATCAAGTAGAAAGTGAATTACAAACATTATTCAATGAACATCGTAAAGAAGTATTAGCTGAATTGAAATCATCAACAACTTTATGTACACCTTTATCATCTCATAATCATATTAATGGTAATGATTTCATTAGCGATATCAATAATGCAAGTGATCATCAAAGAATATTTTCTAGCAATAAACCACGACGATTTCGACCAGGTTTATCAAGGTAAATATTCTTTAGAAACTGTTTAGTTGATATCTATTACTCCATAATGATCATCTTTAATCGGTTATTAGTGAGTAAACTCATTTATTTCGGAAATTATTAAAAAGTCATTAGTTATAAATACTTATCAGAACTTTGAAAATGTGTTTTGAAGATTAGTACAATCAATCATCAATTGAAATGACAGTATTACTTAGTTGATTATACTGTGACGATGATTGTTACAATTATTGAGAATCAAAGTTTAATCACTAATATAGTTATGAACTAGTACTGATGAGAGAAGTTCCAAAATAAGACAAAACAATTAGTGTTTAGTGCTTTAAATCAACTTTCATTTGCTATAGAAAAGTGGCTTGAAATTAGTCTCTGTCGTACAGCTGTTTATTTATTTGAACACATAAATATTATTACAAAGGGGCACAGAATAGATATGAATCACCCAAGTCAATTGATTTGTGTGTGAGCTGTCCAGACCGAAGCACATAATTTTGCTTAGGGGGTTAAACCAGGAGCTTTCAACCTGAAGGTCTGATCCACAAAACAGTGGAGCGACGTCACCCATGGTAGTTGGTGACCAACAATAGGTTCATACGACATTTGTTTCTTTAGAATCTTGAAGCCAATGTGCACGATTGACTTTGAATCAGGATTTTCCAACTAACTCTCCTAAGTGGACTCTCCGTGTCCACCAACCCGGTTAAGGCGCCGGACATTCACTTTTCGTTCTCTCGATTTCGTAAATAACAAGTTGGCCGCGAGAATTCAATGGTTAGGACTTCCCTGTCAGTAGCTGTATAAGCGTGGCCATGTGAGAGCATTTGGAGAGGGAGAGCGAACTCTCCCCACTCTCGGCCGTACCAGGGCATTTGAGGGCGTAACATTGAGATATATAATATATAATATAAAGCAATAGACATTGATGATGGAATGAATTAAAACTACGAAGATTATAAACAATAACTATTTATATTGTAAATAAACAAGTGAGAGACTATTTATAGAAGGAATTGAAAAACCAATGAAGTAAGGTTGTGTAATTATATATAGTCTGGAAACTGGTAAGATGGAGTGTGTGATAGTATTTAACAACAGAATATTTACATATGTTTCAGACTAGTTGAATTTAGTTATAAAAGAGATGGAGTGATAAGGTGGTAATTGTGTACAATACAAAATTGGAGAGTTACGTAATAATTACATAAGGTTTGAAGAGATTCAGTCAGCTACAACGTAGGGGACTAGGCACATATATGCATCGATCCAAGTTGCCATACCTCATTAGCACAACAAGATGGACACCGGATTCATAGAATCAGTTAATTCAATGGTGATAATATATAAAAGAAACATTGCATATAAGGATATAGTACAGGAAGAAAGAATTAGTTGGTAGAAAGAAAGATATGAAGCAATTTTAATCTCTTAGTTTAAGGGAAGACAAAGAGTGTATTCACCGACGCCATTGTGATCAATTCTCAGCTATGTCACCAAGAATCTCCAACCATTGTTTTGAAGAGATTACATAAGTTTAGAGAATTGAATGTACGAAAAAATAACCTCGATCAATAAAAGGATAATTTTGGCCTAAATAAAATAAGAATTAATGTAGTAAACATTGGATAACACAATAAAATAATAATTATACTACTAATAGTATAAATAATTACAGGTAATTTTAATCAAAACTGTGAATTTATCAAGGTGATGATAAATTGATTACTGTTTCGTTCTAAGGCGAGATATCCGTCTATCAATTAAGGGACGAGTATACTGCGCGACAGTTGGTTCTGTTCATTTTACGGCTACAAAATATGGCCATCAGGAGTAGAAGATACTTATAAGCTACTAGTATTTGATCACAGACACCTTAGAAATATTGCTCGCATCTACTGGGATTACCGAGGGGCAAGTAATAGTGAGGTTGGATGCAGGATATCAGATAATGATGGTAAATCAGTTGATGAGGTTGTGAATTTTCATCGATTAAGATGGTTGGGCCACGTGTTACGTATGCCTGAACACCGATTACCACGACGCGCAAGGCTGACCAGTGTTGGGGATGGTTGGAAGAAAGTTAGGGGTGATCAAACCAAAATGTGGCATCAGTGCTTGAAGACAATAACTTCTAATCTGAGCCATGTTGGGAGATGGAGGCTACTCGGTTGGGGTCCGCATGACTGTCGTACCCAATGGTTGTAGACTCTGTGTGACATGGCTCAGAATCGATCACAATGGCGTAGGTGGTGCATACACTCTTTGTCTTCCCTTGAACTGTGAGACTAAAATTGTTTCATATCTTTCATCCTGTACTATGTTCTTATGTGCAATGTTTCTTTTATATATTACCACCACTGAATTAACTACTTCTATGAATCCGGTGTTCATCTTGTTGTGCTAATGAGGTATATCAATTTGGATCGATGCATATATGTGCCTGGTCTTACGTTGTAGTTGACTGACTGTCTCATTCCAAACACAGACAATGGTTTTTGCCCAAAAAAACTGACTCAAAGTGTAGTGTCGGTTATTATGTTAAGCCGATATACCTTATACTAGCTTTCGAACAGCGCATTCTATTCATTCCACTCGAGTCACATTCTGACCTTGTTATTTATTCGCTTATCAATCTTGACTGTTTTTATATGATCGCATGTGTGTACACTTCCCGTCCCATTCATCACATGTCTGTAATTTATTTTTGTGTGCCTATAAATATTGCTTTACGCTTGACTGAAGGAGAGTTGGCTTACCTGCCATCTCCACTGCGCGTCATTTCTCTTCTCTTTGTTCCATTTGCTTCATATACAAAATATATGTATTCAAAAGTCCATTCTCGTTATTTGACGTATCTAAATCCGTTATTGACAAACGCGATTAAAGTCGATGATTCTATACAAGAATAGGCGATATGTAAATTTCAACAACAATCATCATTACAATCTCCTTGGAGTCAGATTTCGGGCCACTAAAGTGGAGGCTCTTTCGACAACATTGTTCGATCTAAATGACGATTAAATAACGGGTCTCCACAAAAGTACTAGTAATTATATACAGAGATAAATGATGGCTATCAGTGAAATTTAAAATACATATTACAGCTTATTTAAAACTTGTCAGATGGTGGATTTACTTACATATTAGAATCATTGTTCATTTCGGGACTCGAACTCATTACTATTCACTTCAAATATTAACATATTATCTATATAGTTACTGAGTTTGTTCACTCTCACTTGTATCTATGTAAATATGTATATGTATATAACATACATCGTGTTTTTTTCTCCTCTTTCTTTTAATAATCAAATTTCAGATTTTATGAACTTCAATCACAAAAAACAATGGAATATGATATATCTATAGCCAAATTATTATCTTTAGGTTATCCATATCAAATAGCAAATCGTGCATTAAAAGAAAATCATAATAATTATCAAATTACTTTAGATTATTTATTATCTAAATCTACATCAATTATGAATATTGAAGATAATTCAATGATGAATAATAATCATTCTATCAATAATACATCACATGGAATTCGTTCACGTGGTATTCATGTTAATAATAGTCGTAGTAGTCGAGGTTATGAACGTGGTCATCGTGGCAGAAGTCGACATGATGATTCTGATGGATATGAATATAATTCTAATCGAGTAAGTTTATTGTTAACTTATAAATAACAATTCTATTAATTTGCTCTGTGTATCCAGTTTTGAGCTACATTTTCTTTATTGCTAACCAGGTTCAAACTTATGATTGACTGCTTGAAATTACTGTTGCCATTTAACGATCACTGGTTGTGGATATATTTTGTTTTAACTATTTATTTTATATACTAATCAATTATTACAAACTCAACAGTTCCATGTTCTATAAGCAAAGATGGATGATGACTAGCAATAAAATCTAGGATAGGCGTTTTGTCCTATCTTGGGATTCGTCGGATGTCATATAATACGTGTTTATCAGTACAGAATGAAGTGTGCTCATTAAATGGATCGATCAATAAATTATTCAAAATTAGCTTAGTTTAAACAATAAATGTTTATTGGAAATGATTTTCACTATTATACACGAGAGAAACAGTTCGATAACTTTCAGCTGCACATTGATATTAAACTACTTTTATTTTTCAATATGGTATTGTGTTAAGTCTTCTAAATCTATATATATATCGTCTCGCAGAAGGGTTTTATTATGGTTGGATTTAGGCGTGTCCGGGTTGACTTATTTATTTATTCTAGTTACTTACTTACTACTTTTCTTACGCCTGTTACACCCAATGGAGCATAGGTCACAGACCAGCATTCTACAACCCACTCTGCCCTCGGCATTCCTTTCCAGTTCTGTCCAATTTTTCTTCATTCTTTCCATGTCTGTCTCCATTTATCGGAGTATTGTGTTTTTTGGTCTTCTTCTTTACCCTCATTGGCCTTGGGGATTCCAAGTGAATGATTGTCTTGTGACGCAGTTCGGTGATTTCCTCACTGTGTGTCCTATCCACTTCCAGCACTCTTCCTGATTTCTTTCCCCGATAGGATCTGGTTTGTTCTTTCCCACAGTTGGTTGTTGCTGATAGTGTTTGACCAACGGATCCGAAGTATTTTGTGTAGACAACTGTTATTACTAAACGCTTGTATCTTCTGGATGATGGTTGTGGTAGTTCTCCAAGTTTCCAACCCATACAGTATCACTGTTTTGACATTTGTATTGAAAATTCTGACTTTGATGTTGATTGACAGATAGTTGTTTTGAGTTCCAGATGTTCTTCAAATGTAAATATGCTACTCTTGCTTTACCGATCCGTGCCTTCACATCTGCATCAGATCCACTGTGTTCATCAATGATGATGCCCAGATATGTAAAGGTTTTTACACCTTCCAAGGCTCCTCTGTCATGCGGTTTTCCCCCTCGAAATGCAAAATGTTGCTTCAGGATTGGGTTGAATCGACACCTCAACTAATGATAAGGAATGATGTAGTTGAACATGTTGACGCTTCATTTATCTTAGGAGTCTCATCAGCCCTTGTGGTCTGGTGTGTGACGAAATCTCAGCACGGATACAGAAGGCTTGACTAGCTTTTGCCAACTTGCGTCATTTATGGCGTAGGCGAGATATCCGTCTATCAACCAAAGGACGTGTTTACTGCGCAGCAGTTGGTTCCTTCCTACTTTATGGCAGTGAAACATGACCAGTAAGAGTAGAAGATATTTGTAGGTTACTAGTATTCGATCATAGGTGTCTTCGAAGCATTGCTCGTATATTCTGAGACCACCGAGTAAGCAATGCAGTTGTTAGGAAACGGGTACTAGGTAAGGATTGGCAAATCAATTGATGACGTAGTGAAAATTCATCAGTTGAGATGGCTGGGACACATGTTACGTGTACCCAACCTAACCACCGATTGCCCGACGTGCGATGTTTTGTGGTGTAGGAGTAGTTTTTAAGAAATCTAGTGGCGGTCAGATCAAAGCATAGTACAAATCCATGAAGTCACTGACAAGTGGACTGAGCTATGTTAATAGGTGTAGACTACCTGGTTGGAATCGCGAGATGATAGTAACCGATGGTTAGAGACCCTGAATGACATGGCTCAAAATCGTTTGCAATGGCGCAGGTGCATCCACTCTTTGTATTCTCCCAAATGCTAATCTTTTGAATTCTCCATGTCCCTTTCTTTTTTGTCTTTCCAAATTTATTTCACTGGATTATACTCTTTGAATGACATCTTCAAACTCTAATGTTTCCGATTACTGCTTATGCTCTTACCACCACTACCACTATGAAATTTGAATTGACAACTGCCTCTTTGTGCTAATTTAGTATGGCAACTCGAACTGATGTACGTACGTACGAAGTTCTGCGTTGTTACTGACTGATGTGTGATTTGATTAGTGCATGTTGTGTTTTATAGGAGAATCTTGCTTTTCTGTTTATGTATGTTGTGACCTACTGCTGCTGAGGCTGCTGCCACACTGATCATCTTCTCCTGCATTTTTTGCGTGTGTTATAGAAGAGCCAGATCATCTGTGAAGTCTAGGTCGTCCAGCTGCATTCTACTTATACAGTCTTATTACTCATTATCTTATCTATATTTGTTGACTCAGTACTAAATACGCTCCAACTTCGCAATACACTCACTATAGTTACATGAAGTAAACTGATACATTGATACATCAAGTGTGCATTTACTATTTTTTTAGACAATTCTGTTAAAATTCAGTATGAATCTACTTAGGAAGCAAATTTAAAAAAAGAGAAATATTCTCTTTGATAACCCGTTGTATTGACAAGTTTGTGTTCTAAATCAGTCAGTCAGCTACAACGTAGGACCAGGCACATATATGCATCGATCCAAGTTGCCATACCTCATTAATACAACAAGATGGACACCGGATTCATAGAATCAGTTAATTCAATAGTGATAATATATAAAGAAACATTGCATATAAGGATATAGTACAGGAAGAAAGAATTAGTTGGTAGAAAGAAAGATATGAAGCAATTTTAATCTCTTAGTTTAAGGGAAGACAGAGAGTGTATGCACCACCTACGCCATTGTGATCGATTTCGAGCCATGTCACCGAGAGTCTCCAACCATTGGTTACGATAGTCACGCGGACCTCAACCAAGTAGTCTGCATCTACCAACATGGTTCAGACTAGAAGTTAGTGTCTTCAAGCACTGATCCCACGTTTTGGTTTGACCATTCCTAACTTTCTTCCAACCATCGCTAACACTAGTCAGCCTTGCGCGTCGTGGTAATAGGTGTTCAACATACGTAACACGTGGCCCAACCATCTCAGTCGATGAAGATTCACAACCTCATCAACTGATTTACCATCATTATCTGATACCTGTATTTAACCTCACTATTACTTACCCCTCGATGATCCCTGCAGTCACCAGCAATAATTCAGTAAGCCATACAAGCTAGTAGTTGATTATATCAACAAGAGTTGCACAAATCAAATTAGATAGGATGAATGTTATTATCATTTTTGTAAGCTGAAAAAACAATGATCAATGGAGTTGAATTATGTTAGATTATTGATGAATAACATTGGAAGATTATCGAAGAGTATTGATAAACGTTTCAAAGTTATAAATGTAAACCAGTGAATGCTGGCTCTGTGATCCGAATATTATAGAAGTCCTGTAAAAACTGAGATTTTCATTTCTACTTTGAATTCTTATTAAATGATTATTGTAAGATAAATATCTACATTGTTATTGTACTTGTTAAATTTCAGTCTTCTATTGGAACTACAAATGATCATCATACATTGTTGATTCGACCATCAACAGGACTTACTCGATTAGATGATTTAATTGTTGATTCAAAACCAATAACAACATCGAATGCATTATTATCATCTTCATCATCATCAAATATTATATCAAAAACTTGTATTCTACCTGTTGGTTGTCCAATTCTAGCACAAAATATATCTGGTGATTATGAAGAAGCTCAATTAATTGGTCATTTCTCTGCACAACAATTTAATAAAGCATTTAATGGTAACAATGCCATTGTTGATGATACGGTTCCAGGGAGAAGGTTGTACTTGTTAGTTATCATCATCAACAGAAGAATAATCCTGAAATAATTGTAGATGAAGAAGAAATTGTACCGATCAGTTTGATAAGAACATTAAATAAAGAAAAGGTAAGTAGTAGTATGTTCACTGTACATGTGACATAAATTAGTGCGTATATGTGTATGTGTGTCCAGTGTCAGGCAAGGTTGTTTACTCTCACCCTTTGTCTTTCTCCTGGAGATCGACTGGATCATGAAGACATCAACATCTAGGGAGAACTACGGGATAAAGTGAACAGCTAAAATGCAGTTGGACGATCTAGACTTCGCAGATGATCTGGCTCTTCTATAACACACGCAACAAAAATTCAGGAGAAGACGACCAATGAAGCAACAGCCTCAGCAAGGGTAGGTTTCAACATACACAAAGGGAAAATCAAGAGTCTCCAATAAAACACTGCATGCAACAATCGAATCACACTTGATGGAGAACATTTTGAGGATATGAAAACCTTTACATATCTGGGCATCATCATTGATGAACACAGTGGATCTGATGCAGATGTGAAGGCGCGGATCGGTAAAGCAAGAGCAGCATATTTACATTTGAAGAACATCTGGAACTCAAAACAACTATCTGTCAATCAACATCAAAGTCAGAATTTTCAATACAAATGTCAAAACAGTGATACTGTATGGGATGGAAACTTGGAGAACTACCACAACCATCATCCAGAAGATACAAGCGTTTAGTAATAACAGTTGTCTACACAAAATACTTCGGATCCATTGGCCAAACACAATGAGCAACAACCAACTGTGGGAAAGAACAAACCAGATCCTAGCGGGGAAAGAAATCAGGAAGAAGTGCTGGAAGTGGATAGGACACACAGTGAGGAAATCACCGAACTGCGTCACAAGACAATCATTCACTTGGAATCCCCAAGGCCAATGAGGGTAAAGAAGAAGACCAAAAAACACAATACTCCGATAAATGGAGACAGACATGGAAAGAATGAACAAAAATTGGACAGAACTGGAAAGGAATGCTGAGGGCAGAGTGGGTTGTAGAATGCTGGTCTGTGACCTATGCTCCATTGGGTGTAACAGGCATAAGTAAGTAAGTGTATGCGTTTGCATTCATGTGCATAGATGAGAATGTGCTTGTTTATATTTTGAAGGTCTTTCAAACATTGCTGTCTTTTTTGATTAAAGTGCAACAGAGTTATCCAAATTCTTACTTTTTTTCTAGAAAAACAAAACTGATTTAGTCAAGTGTTTAAGCCTGAAGCATCATTGCTCATCTATAACAGAAGGATAGTTTAATAAAACGTCAGGTTTCACAATAACACATTTCGTCTTAATCCATAGTTTTTCCTTGCCACCGATAAGACCTTAAAAGTATGGAGCTAACGCATTACAAAAAATACAGTATATATAAATGGCTTCATTTAGTTGTACTTTCGGCTGTGCGGTCACATTTCTAGTTCATCTAGATGATCTTTAATCAAATCTCCTCTTTCAAGTCTGTTAGCAGGACATAGACTGGATTAAAGCATGCTCAATGCACGATTGCTTTGGTCGACGCTGATTGGCTATTTCTTATCCAATCAACACTAGTCGATACTTGGAGAATATTCTGGAACATTCTCATGTAAAAACTATAAATATATTAACGTTTTCCCTATTGTGCTTCTTGCTTCCATCTAACCTTGTTATTTGGAATATGATCTCTTTCCTGTTCAACCGTGTTCTGATTTGCGGACTTGTCGAGTGAATCGGTGTCCGAGAATACTATACTAAGCAATAGGAATAGCTAAGTCATAACCGTAAGAAAGAGATTATAACAAAGTCGAACAAGAATAAAGTATCTTTCTACAATGTTAGCAACTTAAGATGTCACAACTTCTTTTATATCACTCGACATCCCATAATTAGTCTGTATAGTCCATTCATTTGGTCACTTTCTTTCTGATTGTTTTCTGACTTCTAAGTGAATAATTTTATTGTATGCATTTTTATTCAGATTACTATAGATATGGTACCTCCTGCACCATTGGATAGAATACTACCATATTGTGTTCAATCACAATCTGAATATACAGATGTTAATCGATATGATGAAATTCCTTCTACTGATTATGGATTTACAAGTCGACCATATCAATCTAGTAGAGGACGCAGAGGTGTTGGTGGTGGTAGTCGTAATCATAGAGTGTTTCGTGCTGGAAGAGGCAGTAGTGGTAGACGTTCACGTTGTAGAACTAATCACTTCTGATGAAGAAATAGCAATTTTAATAAATTTATTACTTTTCTTTTCATAATTATGCTTGAAATCAGTATTTTGCTTTGTAAAAATGTGTACATACACTTTGTTTTGTATCAGAAACATTTCTCTACACCTCTTCTATTTTCTTCTCTTCTTCTTCTTTCTTCTTCTTCTTCTTCTTCTTCTTCTTCTTCTTCTTCTTCTTCTTTCCCCTCTTCTTCTACTTCTCCTCCTCCCTCTTCCTCTTCCCCCTCTTCTTCTTCGTCTTCTTCCTCCTCTTTATTATTGTTATTGTTGTTGTTGTGTTGTATGAAGTTGTATTTTAATGCCTTTTGTGTATTGACTGAAATGTTTCAGTAAAACAAATGAACGGTTCAGTATAAACTTCAGAAATTGTCTGTTACACATATGTATTTAATATACTGTACATAGACAAATTGTTTCTTTCTATCAGTTTTGGGTTGTGGAAATTATTAAGGTATTGATTGAGATCATGAACTGATTGATGTTAGACCACCATTGAGAACCTGAAAGCACTGGACGGCCGTTTCGTCCCATTGTGGGACTCCTCATAAGTGCGCATCTACGATCCCGATCGCGAGATTCGAACTCAGGGCTTTCAGTTTTGCGCGTGAACGCCTAACTTGTAGACCATTAAGCCGGCCGGCATCCAACGGTGTTAATGTCTAACCTCAACCAGTTCACGAAATTGCGCAACCATCTTCCATTGTACTGAAGTAGATACCTATCTCTACTCGACATGGATTCTATATTTAAAACTAGTAATTGATAAATGTTTTATTCAAGTTTACGGGAGGATACTTATCATCTGATTTAATAATGTTCTCATTACTCCCAGACTATAAAGTCTGACAAGATCGATAAAATAGTATATGACGCTATTGTTATATACTAATCATAATAAGTTGTATTTTACAAACATATAATACTCTGCCACGTTGTTCCAATGAATAAATAAGCGAGTTCGAGGTTTCAAGTATTCCCTCCATTCTCCTTCTGTTTGGGTTAGCTAGTAATATCATTGATTATCGTATAAGTTGAAGCTTAGTACATTAAGTCTGTACTCGCTGAATGTGTTATCTTATAAATAACATCTACTGAATAATGGACGATTGTTGTACATCAGTAAGTGACAACTAACAGTATATGTTATAAAAATGAGACATCTATTTTTGTTTATAATTCTATTGTCAGTGAATCTCACAAACCGCTTTTACATTAAGGATGTTTAAGGAAATAAGAGAAGTTTCCTTGATATCGTGTGTATATATTATATGACCCTGAATCCGACTCCAATTAGATGTCCATGTCGCTGCTGTACTGGCTTCGCTGAATGCGTCAGATTTAAGATTGAGTTGCTCGTCGATTGCTTCGTTTATCGGACCCGTCTGCGTAGACTTACAGAATGCGTTTATTTCGAGATAAAGCTTACCACTTTTGTGGTGCCGTAGTCTCCGATTTAATCGTATGGTCGAAAACTGCGTTTTTTATCGACTGAGCTGGCTTCATTGAGTTTATTCGCCCAAAGTATGGAGTGCGGAAGGTTTATCATCTGCGTAGTTTGTTGTGTTATGCTTTTCGTCGGCGGGCTTATCACTTTTGTGGCCCGTTATTTTAATGCCAATTAGATTGGTCTAATGATTGTTGTTGAAATATACATTCTTGTATACAATCATCGACTTAACTCGCGTTGGCGAATAACAGAATTAAATAAGTCAAATACGAGAATGACTCCCGAATTTATTTGTTTCATACAATTTTTGATCTGAACAAACAATCAGAGATACAGAGCAAAATAAGCTAAGAGGAGAGAGAGAGATAAGCGAAACTAAATGACGCGCAGTAAAGAGGGAAAGTGAGCCAACTTAATTTAGCGAACCGTGAACCGATATATACAGTCGAACCAAAATAAGTAATTAACATATGATGAATAAGATAAGAAGTGCATACAACTATGCTCATATAAAAACAGTCAATGTTGATTAGTGAATAATTGGCAAGGTCACAATGCGACTAAGATGAATAAAAAGATTGATCTGTCCAGAGGTTAGAATAAGTTATGTGGGCTCGAAATAGGACCAGCCAGTACATAAATATGAGAAATTCAAAAACCATCGGGTTACCTAATTTCGCTACCGGGTTCATAATTGAGACGTTTAGGTTGTAATGTTAAAATATGTAGTGTTTCACATGATTAGGAGAAGTTCATGTATTTTGTTGTAGGTGGGAATGTGTTGATAATCACCATAAATTTCGTATGCCGTGGTGGTGATGGTGTGTCAGGGAAAAAAGATCAAATATTTCGTATGTTTTAGTGATTGTTTGAACATGTCTTATACTTCTTAGACATAAGCTTTCCATACTGATGATGTTCGTTGGCTTGTGTGTTTTCCATTTTGATTATTCAAGAGGTTTATTTGGTTATTGATGATGATATTGTTAAGTAATGCTGAAGACTTGAACTATCTACTTTATTATTATTATTATTATAATTTAATATTATATTTAAATAATTCCACAAATTCAATTTTTTTCTTTGTCCCGAAAATGGTGCCAGTTTAAAAAAGATGTATTTGTTACACAATTTCTCTTTTGTTTTTTTAAAGTTATTTAACGCAGATAGTTGGATAAAAATATATATAAAAAAAAAAAAAATTGAAATTAGGAAAGCAGTCAGGCCATGTAGTTTAATCCATCGTACCATCTCTAAGCGTTTTCACTATCACATACTACCAGGTTCCCATTTGGTAAGAATCTAACGATATTCTATTTGTAATGCCCAGAAATTTCAATACAGCAAAGTAATAAATTGATGCTTAACAAAAAGCTGAATGATAATTTGTAAAGAAAAGTAGTAGAGTAAATGGTTGTGTAATCAAAAATTAACTGAACAATGATAGTGTTCAATGAAGGGTAGTCTATTTAGAAACTATAACCAGGATAAATTTCTTTTAGTTAAAAAGATTTTCTATAAAGAATGTTGTATAAGTATTACCGCTGAATTGTATTTTGAGCAATATCACATAGAGTCTAAAGCTAGTGAACCAGATGATCTATAGGGCTCAACATTAGTTGTCTGATGAATGTAAAGAAATAAAAAAAGATTCTTTTCACAATATAATGTACAAGAAAATGAACATGTTCTTAAGGTAATTATAATTTTTTTAGAATGTAGTGCATTATTCAAAAGCATTACAGACAGAGATGGATGGTGTCTATTAGTGGAATTTGAGATGCGCGTCCCATTTTATCCAGACCCATCAGTTGGACGTACCTGCATCCCAGAATTGATGTTCATCCTAGGAATCGAACCCAATACCATTCACTTCAAACGTCATTGTGTTATACACTCTGCCACTAGGTTCAGATAGTTACTAGCTTATGCAATGGGGTAAAGTTTTAGCTCATTTTGTATTGGTTGTTTTGATCATCCCATTGATGTTTAGAACTGCAAATGACCAGTCTTATTGGCATATGGGCATCCTATACGGATTGACTCGATATTGCCTTGAGTGACAAGCATTATAAGCAGAGATGTGTACGTAATTTTTAGTCTATTCGACCAGCTACTTAAATATTATTTCAGTAACAATGCATTATGTACAAACATTTGCCGAAGATTATTATTATTATTATTATTATTATTATTATTATTATTATTATTATTATTAGAAGCTTTATTCAACATTATATTTTTGGTACAACATAGAATTCTCAGCATAAAGTATTTCAACAAGTTTCCTTTTCTTATACCTTGATCGATTGTGACGATAAATTTTGAATGATGACCAGTTAGATGTTAGAAGTTCGGTAATCCACATTTGATTACTGTTCATTCGTTTCAATGCATATTGCCAGCCACCATGATGTCGCTGATTGTACCTTTTTGTATTCCGTATAGCGAAAGGTAAACTCTTCATAAACGCGCCTGAATAGATTGTACGCACAATAGACATAGTGATGTGCTAAAACAAACAACAAAACAGATAACTTGATGAAATATCCAGATAGGAGGAACAGGTAGCCCAGATATTCAAGCAGGCCGCCGGAAGATCTGCCAATGTCTAACTAAACAAAATTAAAGAGATAGGCATTGACTCATGTTATTTTTCTTCTTAAGAATACCGCTTCATTTTTTACTGCCATCCTTTAAACACCAACATAATGTTCTTTTGATTTGTGATTTTTCGTTTCATTTCCTATCTCTGCACCGACTCCAGGTGTAACAAATTGGTTCGACGCAAACTCGTTCCAGATCCTACAATAATGATGACTGACTGAGGATCATCTCGGAATTACTGAAAAATGCCAAATGTTTAGATAGGCATATGTATATATAATTGTATTGATTTGGTGTATAACACCTACAATTGTGAATGTTCATCGACTGTGGTTTTCGGGATACAATCGACCACCATCAACCTAAACGTGTAATACTGGCTGGAGTAAGAGTGATTTAGAAGTGAGTAAAAAGATGACGGTCAAATGCATGACATTAGTTAACGAAATCGCTGACCGTTGATTTTAGATATGTTGATATGCAGATACTAACCTAGTTAGGGTCTGGATGATAACGATGATAATTAGTTTGAGATATCGAGTGATTTGGCAGAGAAGCGAACAGACTTTCAGGAGAATTATCTATAAAATTTACTAGTTACTATGAACTGATCACATAAGAAAAATATTCATGTTGTCACTGGAATTTAGTTCAGTGACTGATTATTGATGTTTTAGTGAGAATATGTAGTTGTTAAATTTTCACTACCTTGAGATTGAGAATCATCATTAACGCCACTAGGTGATTATCAATGTAAGCCATTAGGTTTTCATTAAGTAATCAAAGCTATTGTGTATGAAATGAAAACGTAGATTATGTAGTGTCCTCATGTCTATCTTCATGGGTGTATATCAGATTAGAGTTTTTAAGTTAGTTCCATTCTTTTATTTATTCATTTAAATACAAAAAAAATTGTACAATAAGGCAG